GTTAAACATGTGTGAATGAAACAAAACACAACTCCAGGTATGTTTTTGATGAGGAAACATTATAACATAGATCAAAAATTGTGTAATACAGGCCCTTTAATGAGCATGATCGTATTTTCAAGATATGTCTAACTTGGCTATGCTTCAAGAGTACATGTTATTTGTAAACTCACATCCTCTGCATACAAATTGACTGCACTTTCGTGGTTTTATTCAACTTTGTCAACACCACATTTTCTGTTTACACATCCGTTTCCCTTCAAGGATCTTTGAGGTCATCCCAAATCATTTCTGTGGAGTTGCCCGTCAAATCTTCTCATTTGAGCCATAAATCACAACATGCCAGGTCGGAGCAGGGAAGGCCTTAACCTGAGCATCCATCTACTATGAGCTAGGGTCATGTGACAGCATTCTGTGATATCAAAGAAACAACCTGACACTCAAAAGGTGTGTCTGAGAGAGGAGGAAAAATGAGCGAGGAAATAAATCAGACTTGCTGCCGCGGTTGCCCTTGGTTACTGCGGGGAGTGGGGGGTTCTGAAGATGTTACCCAAGTTAAACTTTAAAAAGAATTTCATTTTAACACAGCCTAATCACAAAGAACTGACTTAGATGTAACTACAACAGATGAGGTGATTTTGTACCTATAAAGGTATACTGCCAGGCCGGCGCCATTTAGTGCCTCCGCTCAATATCATTTCTCTCCAGCAACTTGGTCAAGAATCACTAGATGGTTTGCAAGAACCCTGGAAGTGCAAGTCCAGGCACTAGCCAATCAGCAAAGAGCCATACATTCTGTGTTGGCAACGATTCCCGAGATTGAGGATTTAAAGCCGAAACACAGAGAATGTTTGGTGAATTTTATCAAGGGGAAAGACGTTATTGCCCTTCTTCCTATGGGATTTGGGAAAAGCTTAATATACCAGCTAGCCCCGTTAGCAGCGCAATACATACGTCATGACCAAATAGCAGGGATTGGTTAAATGAAAAAAGTACCCACCTACCGTTGAGCGAACAAATTCTAATGCTGCGAGGTCTGACGGTTTCCACGAAGTGAAATCTGCTGATGAATCAGGCTAGTACTGTGAGATTATGGATTTGATGATGCCATTTCTTTACGTGGAATGTTTCACAGTATGGCATTAAACATATCTACCTTGCATTTTGTCAATTACAGGTGTTTTATAGCTAAAAATACATTGAAAACATTAATTCTTACAATGTACATGCTTGCTTCTCCGTAGAACTGCCCAACTCCATTGTAATGACCGAGTTTATTTTCATGCTGTGGAACAATCAATGCAAAAGAGTAATGGTGGCGGACCATCTACCAGAAAAGTTACACAGTGAACCTTTAGACTTAAGTCTCTATCTAATTATATTGCAGTCATACACTAGACAGTATTAGCCAACAAACTCTTCTTGTTGCAAATCAAACTCCTAAACGGGACCATGAACACTCATATTGATCACAAGCTCCTGAAAACGTGTGGTTTAAATCCATTCTTGAGTTTTCAAACATTCTTCAAGCTTATTACATGGTTTGCTAATGTTTGCATTGCGTCACTTTGATATCTGTTGAACATTCCACCATAGACATACATACAGAACCCCTCCAGCATGATGTCATTTCAAAGTATCAATATAAGCTATGGGTAATATGACAGAATATCAAAGAAACAACCCGACCTGCTCAAAAGGTGTGACTAAAAGATGTGGAAAAATTATCTAGGAAATAAATCAGACTCGTTGCAGTGGTTGCCCTTGGTTACTGACAGATAATATGATTTTTGTCTCATTCCCTGCAGCTAACATTGAAAGCATCTGTTACTGATTCACACCTTTACACAGTCACAAAGAATTAAATGACTCCAGATAGCAATCAGATCTGAGGAGAGCTTGTAATTATAAGAGTCACAAGCTCAATTGTATAGAAGCTAGCTACATTCCTGTCAGGTTATCTGGGCTGTTAGCAGACAACACCTGGGGCGACCACAGAGCTGCACTATTGAGGCATGATGGTTTAGGTTTACATACTGTGCCCTTCACTATTATCAGCACCTTTGATAGAATATATGACATACAGTGTTTTTGTTGTTGTATGATTTACCTAAAAATGAAAGGTGCGCTATGTAAATTCTAAGGTGGAGGGTCCGCTACTTGCTTGTCTCCACAGAGATGTTATTTCTATGCATGGTATGTTCCTCAGTAGGGCTTTAAATACATCTGCCTTATATTTATTCAATTACAGGTGTTTTACGGCTCAAAAATACCTTAAAACACATGATTTCTCACTATGTGCAGGCTTGCTTTTCCATAGATCTGAACATTAATTTGTCTCCATTGTAATACCCAGATTTATTTCCATAGAGACAAAGCAGTGACATCTCCATGGAGACAAGCAGGTGGTGGACCCTCCATCAGAAGAGTTACACAGTGCAGCTTTAAACAAAAAAAAAAAGTAATATTTTTTTAATCCAAGTTTTGATAAACTGGTCATATATCAGTATCTTTTAATTTTACATTTGCATATTTTAAAGTATATTCCAGTTCATTTCTTTTTTCATGTTGTCAAATATATGTAAATGTAAATATAGTAAATATAACTAGCAACTAATTATACTATTAAAAAGAAATAAGGTGGATTTCAGTGAGATGGTCGGGTGCTTCCCTCTACTGGCGGAAACTTGCTATTACAACAGTCCTGGTAGAATTGGTAAAAAGAGTTCTCAACCTCAAGTCTTTGTTTGTTAGATGAATATTTATTCTAAATATATCAAAAGAAATATTAAAATTGGTAGTTATAAAAAAAAAAGAGAGAGAGAGAGAGACAAATACAGGAGTCTCTGATCTGATCTCCAGATTAAAAAAAAAAAAAAAAAAGAATGGTAAAAGTAATTAGGGTAGTAATAGTCATTTTAGGTCACTATAGTCATATACAAGACATTAAAGGTTTTGTCTTTAATACGACTCACAAGGATACAATTATCAATATTAAATGTAGTAAATAATAAAAATTGCTCTGGTCACTCATACTACTAATAATATAAAGTCTATATAAATGACATCCCATAGCAAAGTCTAGATTTAGTCTGAAATGAAAATAGGCAGTGATGTCATAGACTGGTGGATCACACTACACCAGTAAAATGAGACCTGTAACCACTAACTAACAGGTTTTCAGTTACTCATTAACATTTTATATTTTTCTCTTCATTCATTAGTGGTTGGGTACAAAGGGTTGTGCTTGTAAATTACTATATAATCAAGTTAATGTGAAACAACAAACAACAAAAACACTAAAAGCATGTCACAATTATGGGACAATTATATTTTTTGTCATCTTATAACATCTTACTGTAGTCTTCACATTCATTTTGCTATTAAGATTCTGTATCAAAAGTAGATACCCATTTGATACTGAAAAAGTCACATGAATAGAAAAAAGTTGAACCTTTCCTCACTTTTATGATTATCATGTTATATAATGTAAGAACACAAGGAAACCAAGAAACTTTTTCATTGTATTTTGTGTTAAAGTACTTTCTATTGTCTAAAAAAGTAATTTTCTTATGATTATGGTAACAAAATCTGAATCAAGTATAAAGCCAATGTACAGCTCATATTATTAGAGATCAACTCATAAGAAAGATTACTCATTAAACTATCTCATTAAGTGAAACTTCCAAACTCTCTGTCTCCCACAGACACAGACATTAGTGAGTGAAGTGGGTCAGAGGGTGAACTGAAAAGGAGGATGGAGAGATGAATGGGACACCGAATGAAAGACAGGACGATAGAGGGAGGACGAGAGAAAATGTAAAGAGGTCAGAGAGGCACACACTGGCGACGCTCCAGCTCTGAGCTCAAAACTTAATCTACCACAGCTAAAATTAAACTTCATTGTGTATTTGGTATTAGTTTATAAAAAGGGATGGACGGTGTATCAGTCTTAACATCGGTATTGGCTTATGTGTCATTCCCAGTTTGTCATCATTGCATATCAGATCAGACTAGTGGATTAAAACTGAACTAGAATCAAGCTTAAAGGTTTAATAATATGCAACATTGATTCTCGTAAGTATTAAAACATGTTATAATGTTGTTACCTCATCACAAACCTACCTGGAGTTGTGTTTTGCTTCATTCACACATGTTTAACACTCAAATCCTACAGATTTAGATTTAACAGAAAACACTGTTCCACCTTGTGATGTCATGTGGTAATACAGGAAGCGCTCCACAGTGTTTTTTAAATTCCACACTTTTACTAGAATCATTTGGATAATTTCAGGATAAGTCCAAGTATGTTTTCGATGAGGAAACAACATTGTAACTGTTCTGTACTGTACTGTACTGCCTTAAAATATTAGTGGCCTATGGCAATGGAGCTAGATTTTCTCACTCTGCAACCAATGTATATAATTTGATGACTTCATAATTTCAAGTGGGTCTACAGACCTTTCCATCATTGACAATTAGATATGATTTATGGTAATCTCTTGATAAGAATTTGATTAATTGCACAGCCCTAATTAAGATTTTTGAATGGAACTTGTTTAATATGCTAAAATAAGTGTCCAGATGAGTCCAAGAAGCTCTGTGAATGCCCTTGAGAGCTTATGTGAGATATCCTTGAAAGTGACATGATCTATTTAATCCTGCTGATGGCCCAAAATCTACTCCATCACTTTCACTCAAAACCATGATTGATAAAGCTACTCATCATTGTAAGAGCCAGTGTGGCCAGACAGCTATAACATCTATTCTAACTGTCAGGCTGTGTTTGGGTGCAGGAAAGTTTGTGTTTGACTATTTGTTTGTTACCACTCGAAGCTGCCAATGAAATCACCATAATAAAGAGTTTGGAAATGAACTCTGTGACCTTCAGAACCCTGCCCCCAGTGTACCAGTCCCACACAGATGCACAAAACGCACAATCTCATTCCATTGCCATTGCGTAATCAACTTTAGTCGCACTTTTGTGTTATGTATCTTACCTCTCGACAACGTCTTGGCCACTCCAACAAGTGTGCTGTTCCACCTCCATCTCACTTTCACAGAGCACCTCGGGGAGCTCTGAAAAGAACCACTGGTAACGCTGAATGGAGCCCTCAAACTCCCTGAAGGAAAGAGGAAGAAATGGGTAAACAAACAAGAAGCATTAGTGTTGGAAGTTTGTTCATTAAAAAAATAGAATTGATTTTTGTATTAATAGAATTGTAATGTGTCTGTAAATGATTATGAACAAAGAAATTCCTGTTTATTGGTGATATCTAAGGCCCCATTTAAAATATGTAATATCTTTTTGTTTTGAATTGTTAATTTCTATGGCAACAATGCTATATTTTTATCACTCTGCTCTCATAATTTGATGACATTCTAATTTCAGATGGAGGGCAGAGTGAATGCTGCTTTTGTTTATTTATACTAGAGAAGATGTTGGACTTTGTGCTGGTTTTTGATTCATGTAGATAGGCCCAGTAATTACAGAGATATTAACCATAAACCATGTCAAAACATCTGCATTCTGACAGTTAAACAGCAAAACAAATTTTTAGCTATAACAATTCATCAAATGAGGTTTGTCACTTGAGTTCAACCAACTGAAAGACTTTTTTTAAATCATATGAAATTGATTATCATGATCATAATGATAATTATCCTGATTTTTCTCCACTACCAAAAGGAAAAATATTCATGTCTCAGATTTTTGCAATGGTGACAAGCATTTAAAGCTGAGGCCCCATTTTAAACTTGGCATAATATGTTCACAATGGCTAGATCACAGATGGCAACTTAAAAGTACCAAGAGTAAACATGCTAAACAACGTTGTTATACTTTAAAAGCCCCCCATGGACAAGTGGTCAAAATTAGTACTTGAAAGGTGCAATACAAATGCAATGGTTAATTATAACACTTAAAACAATGTATCTGGCTTAATCCAAAATTTTGCTATGTCCATATTATTTATTTATTTAAATAAATACATCGCCATGCAATCACAACTGAACAGGGATGGCATTTGCTGTCATCTACAGAAACATTCTTTTATAGAGGGAGCTTTAGTGTTTACTTTATCGATTTTAGTCGCTGGATTTGGCAAACCAAAGAGAGGAGTTTTTTTATTGGGTATTCAGCTTGAAAACCCAGCTGAGGTAAAATGTTTTTGTAGTTGTGAATAAATAGACATTACAACTGCCCATGTGTGTGTATATATAAATAATTTCCCTTGTGGATCAATAAAGTTTGTCTGAGTTTAAGTGTATCACCATAAAAGTTAGAAACACACCTGGAGAGTTTCTTTAGACTGCGACTTTTGTCCCCTTTGGAGCCCTTGATGGGAAGTGATCTACAACAACATGGGATACATTTGTATGAACAGGAAAATCAGTTAATGAGAACAATCAGAGATCATTAGATCTGTTGAAAGTGTGTTTACATGCATAAAACAAATTCTGATCATCAAAAACTACAAAAACTTGGTGATAAGGGTCGGTAGATCAATGGATTTTTAGCATAACTTGGATTTGGAAGATAAAGAACAATATATTTTGAAGTAAAATTTGCGCTTTTATTGGTATCTTTGCCCTGTTTTGCATAGATTTTTTTGTCAAAACCCTCACAGATGTCAGTAATCAGAAAGAAATCATATTACTACACTAACTGACAAAAGTTTGGACACACCATCTCATTCATTGTTTTCTTTTTACTACTACTTACTTCTTTTAACTACTTTCTACATTTTAGTTACATATGGGCAGCATCAAATACATTAAGCAAGACTTGTGGAAGTATGTAGCAAAAAAAAATAACTCTACAAAATATTTTTATATTGTATAAAACAGAGTTATCTGTCTATCTGCATATAAAATGTAGAAAGTAAAAGACAAAAAAAAAAAAAAAAAAAAAGGAATGAGATGGTGTGTCCAAACCTTTGACTGATAGTGTAACTGTTTCCAGGACAATTCCATAATCTGTTAACTCTAGAAATAAGATTATGATCAGATTTTTGTGCAAGTATGAGTTCAAAAAGGTAACCTAAGCCTAATTTGAACAGACCTATTAATATTTCATAGGAACCATAACAATCTGTAATGTATTTAAAGAGCAAGGCTGAGAGGAGTTTTTGAAATAGTTGTTATTTTTAGCAGTAATGCACCTGCGGCTATGTGCTGGTGGACGATAATGCGAGCTGTCCAAAGGAGAGAGATGTGAGGATGACTTTGCAGAGGGGTCAGATTTCACTGGGGTCACGGAGGTCGCGGAGTGGAGATCTGAGCGACTTGTTCTTGTCATTACAGAGACAGCTGCATGCGGACCACACACCTTTTCTACCTGAGGAAAAAATACAGGCAAAGAACAATACTGACGATTAAGCGATCTATTACTATGACAACTTTATAACCTCTAGTTTGAAAAGGCTAGTCCTTTTCAAATGTTACCAACCAATTATCCGTGTTGCATGTGATCATCTTAACGGTACACTATGTAACATTTCTGGTAAAGTGTTCCCCTCCTGCTTCTCCACATGGAGAAGTTATTGCTTTAACAATATATATTTTTAGCAATAAAAACACACAATGTCAAGTTTAATGCCATACTATGGAACATTCCAGGAAAAAACATCTCCGTGCAGACAGAGGGCAGATACTCCACCAAAAAAAGAATACATTTATGCACTTTGTTTTTAATAGCATATATTTTTAACATAACATTTAACACTTTTTTGGAACATTTATCTTTAAATGTTTAAAAGAATTGTGACCATCTACAAAACAAATTGCGATTATATGGGTAAATGAAAACAAAAATTTCATGAGAACTCAAGCTTCAAATACAAAACAATGCAGGATTACTCAAACATGCATGAATCAATTGAAATACAACTCTGAGTAAACACGATTAAAGCTCATAAAACTTAATATTGCATATAATGTCTGCTTTAAAGATTGTGTTTAATGAATTAGGTAAGAGCAAATACATTTAATGAAGTGGTGTTTCCTTATAAAAGACAATTAGCAGTGTGCATGTGTTTACCTCTTAGGAATCTACTCTTACTTAGACACAAATGTTCCTCCTCCTTAGACTGGACCTCTACTCTGTTTCCTCCTCCAACAGTGTGTGTCTGTGTCTGTGTGCATGTGTGCCATCTGTTTGTTCAGAGATTAGCCACAGAAAGTTTCTCATCACTCCGAACCAAGCTGCATTCTGGGTATTGGTTGTCCCGCCAACCACCGCCTTTGTCTGGCACCAGATCTGTATTCAGGCTCACATAGACACTCATGCGCACTAAATGGACTGAATGGGAAACCAGGAATTCTCTGAAAAATTTGACTGCCACTTCAGGGAATATCAAATTTGAGCTGTGACCAAAATGAGCATTGGAATTCCATGTCACCCTATAAAAGTTTCATTTTGGTATAATTAATTTTTTATCTATAAAATGTCATGTTAATTAGAGGAAAATTAAAAATTTACTTAAATTTTACAATAATTTCTTAACTGGACACAAGTTTTAAGTTTAAGAGATAAGTGAATACATTTTTCACTCATCCCAAGTACCGCAGTTCAATAAAAGGGCCTTTAATACAGTATTTTCAGATCTACGTTATAAATAATTTCCTGAAACAGGACACAGCTCTGGGTATGTTTTTGAGGAGGTAACAACATTCAAACATAGTTTAAAGCTCAAAAGAGTCAGTTTTGTGTAATATAGGACTTTAAGTTATATATTTATAAAATAACTGTACATATATACTGTAGTATTAGCTATTTGTTGCGCATTGAGAATTTGTGAACTATTCTCTTATTGTATTGTGAGTTACTGTGCCCGTGCCATTTTCCTTGTTGATCAATAAAGTAAAGTCTGCAGTTAGTTTAGTAGTAATTTTCTATGTCTGTGCACTTACTGTGGCAGTGATGTGAGGCCCGTGGAGCTGTGCGTGCAGTATGGCATCGTTCACATGGTTACGGACGGCTAACAGAGCAAGCTCCATGCTGTTCTGGTTACTGCTGGTTGCCAGTGTAGATGCCAGTCGCTGTAATAATACCACCAGACTGCTCCAGGGCCCGCCAAGCTCTGACACACCAACCTACAGAAGAATTCATCAATAAGATACTGATGCAAAAACCTAGCACAGAATTACTGAAAGTGAAACTAATTTAGAGCATGGAAGTTGCTAATTGTAATGGGTTTGAACCGTTTTCAATACATATATGATTTCACAAAAACAAACTTTTTAGACTTATTACTATTGTTCAGTGCATTTCTGCAAAACAGAAACCTGACTGTTTCTATAAGATTTGTGAGGCATTGCCAGGTTTGGTGTATTCATATTTATTTTGATTTCCTTGAGCTGTATTAGAATAACTATTTTTCCTGAAGAAAATAGTCTATGTAAGAATTAAGATTGTAGAATGATCTTGATGATGATTTTTTTCCCATGTGTTTACATTTGGCACAAACAAAAAGGAATGAAGTGTTGGTGAGCTGCATCTATTTGAGAAGCCAAAATCACATTTTGTGGTTAAATTGTTTAATTGTACTGGACCACTGATTTATCTGAAATTATGCCAAAACCACACATCATGTCTCGCCCTGTGGGAATTGTGTCTCATCCAACCCCTAGAAAGATGTCTTCTTGCACTACTTTCCCACTTACTATGTAGGGACCCCAAATACAACTTAGAGTAGGTCCAGAAACATTTAATTAATTATTACGTAAGAAATTATATCAAACTCATGAATTCAAAATGACTGCATGAACATATGACTTACCAAGCATCCTCTCATAACGTTGACACAAAGTCCAGTGCAGGGCCGTATCAGAGTCAGTCCCCTACAGTGTGAACAGTACTGCATCTTTACCAAACTCCTCCCACACTCTCTGCTTAGCGTTGTCTTCTCCGTTGCATTGACCACCTCTCCGGCCAGTTTCAATAATCGACTTAACGCATGACCAACCCCAAGTGCCCGGGACAGGCCACTGACCAGGAGGCGGGGGTAAGGTCCAAATGGACTAACATCCTGACGCGTCATTTTCAAACAATCATCGTGGTTGCTATGGAGAGATGAACTTGACTGGAAAGACTTAGGGCCAAAGCCAGGGTTGAGAAGACGCCGATAAACCAAGGGGAACAGGTCATCATAAAATCGATTGACAGTTTTGTCCAGTGACAGGGCTGCATCTCCAGAAAGGTGTAGTTTAATGTCATTGAACAGCCGGGAGACAAGGGGGCGACAGTCTGAGGATAGGGCAGAGTAGGCACTGTCGAAGAGTGTGCTTGTCAGGTTGGACGTGAAGGAGACCAGTGACTCAAAAGTCTCTAAAACAAGAAGAAACATCAAGTTAGTGACAGGCTATAGGTTTAGAGTAAATTAGACTGGAAAAGGATGATGAGAAGATTAAAGATGCTCCATGTAACATTTCTGGTGGAGCGACCGCCACCTCTCATGTCCTCATGGAGATGTCATTGCTTTGCCCGGTATGTTAATGCATTGGATTTAAATAGAGCCTTTCACGACACCCAAAATGTTTCACATTGCATTATTCATTCCACACCTGGTGGTTGTAAGCTGTAAGATGGCTTGCCTCACCACAGACCTCACCTGTAACTTGGCCTAGTAGCATCATCTTCTTGTCTTCTTGGAGATAGATAAGTTAAAGCTTTACTGTGGAAAAGCAATAGCACTTACTGTATTTTTTAAAATGATAAACATCATAAATATGTTTGACAATATAGTATTTTTTAGATTGCAATAAGTTGTTATATCTTTCCAAATAAATTTCTATGTTTATGGCAAAGATAATATCACTTATATATCCACAAATACAGTACAGAAAAATATACAGAAAGAATATACAGAGAGAAGAGTATGAAATCTAAGTTTTCTATGATAACATGCCCTCTGTAACTGACATTGACCTTACTTCATACTGAGTGATCCTTATGAGCTAAAATAGCCCCTAACTTAATTCATGTGAAGCTCATTTTCACTGCTGTTATCTATAGACAGGCGATAATGAGGGGCTCTCTCGCTTTGGTCCCAGACTAATAAAGTCTATAATAATAAAGTCTCTGTATGTTTAACTGACCCAATCTCTGATGCATGATGTCATTTCAGAGGCATCCTCCTGGCACACACAACTGAACAGGGATCGAGCTGTTTACAGGAACTTTGACCTGGACTAAGCCACCTATCATATTTTGGATTTAAATAGTTGTACTGTAGTTTCTGGGGACTTTTTTGTAGAGCTGCACAATATGACAATAAATTATGTTTGTTAACTATGTTTAGTATTGAAAGAATTCGACTTTTGTATTATATATATATATATATATATATATATATATATATATATATATATATATATATATATATATATATATATATATATATATATATTTATTTACTAGTCAAACAGGCATCCATTACCATCTCCTTGGAGTCAAGCAGGTGATACCAAGTTACAAGTCAGATTTGTGGAGAAGCAAGCTATTCACAGTAAAAATACAAATGTTTCAATGAGTTTTAGATATAAAACTGGCTTGGCTATAATTAAACAATGCATATTACATTTAATGCCACATTATGGAACATTCACGAAAAAGCAATAACATCTCAGTAGAGAAAAGCAAGTGGCAGATCATGTTCATCTGGAAAAGTTACACACTGCAGCTTTAACATAGACAAATAAAGACTAAAACAGGACTAAAGGAACCTAATCAACCTCTTACAATTTACTTTGAAAAAACATTTGAGAGTATTATCACAGTTGCAAGAAAATATATAAACTGTTACACTTTTTTTTTCTTGCAATATTGATGGATAGACAATGATAGATTTTTGCAGTAATGTGCAGCCCTAGATTTAATTTATTTAAGTAAACTACACTACACTTCTCTAGTTCAGATGCTTGTTTGAAGTTGACATATTGATGTTTAGCATACACGTTTGCATACCCATGTCCAAGCACAGGCTGGGCTCTGACAGCCAGCATCATATAACAAAGCAGGGACCACTTAGTCATGTGATTAGCCCTGTGCACCATTTGATTGGATGACAGCTGCAAAGTGGTGAAGAGGGCACTGGAGTCAACGGCAGAGCTGCGCACGTAAGAGAGTGGACATGTTTTCACACACACTCACACACACACACACACACACCCGCAGTGATCCGGGGCATGTAAACAGACCCCCAATGACACCACTTTGGGCATGTCTCAGTCTCTCCAGAGGGTCATAATCTAGGACCATAGAAAAGGTCTTTAGGGAGTCAGACCAGCTGTCCCACTACATCTCATGTGTTCATTACAATAATTCAAAGCCAAAACATGTAAAATCTGACACCAAACAATGAGTTAGAATTCAGACAGAAGTCATCTTTCAGTAGGCTAACCACAGTCTAAATGCAATGTTCATGAAGACCTGTCACTATCATTACTATATCAATATACTTTTGGGTTATTTTTTTGTGGAGTCATTTGGTAATACAGGAAGTGCTCCACAATATTTTTAAACTCCACACACCTTCACTTGAATAATTTGGATGATTTAAATCCTGTAATTACCAATCTCCTGAACTAAAGGAAAAAGGTAGCTGTTAACTTGAAAACCATTGCTTCATGACATCAGTGGTGAAACAGAGCATTTTGAACTTTGGAGATGTTAACAGAGTAATAATAAGGGATTACTCAAATATGTGAACAGAACAAAACACAACTCTGGGTGTGTTTTGATGGTGGTAATAACATTATAATATGGCTTAAACTTCACAAGAGACAATTTTGTGTAATATAGGACCGCTAAAGAAAAACAAACACGAAATAAACAAAGTAATTGACAGCATTTTCTATGATGAAGTTTAATGATCAAGGGAGCTGTGAAACAATCAAAGCCTCATTGAGAACAATAGATTTTAAATGGTTAGTTCTGACTTGTTTTGGCCTGGTTCAGCTCGTCTTTGTCTGTGGGTGTTTCACATTAATTTTACCCATGGATGCTTCAGACATTCACTGCGCCAAGGGTCTAAGTTTAGGATGAGTACAGAGACATGGGGCAAAAGGACAGAAATGGAGCAAGAGAGAAAAAAAAATCATATTTGTCATGTCTGTCGGCTGGGTTTCATCAACTTCAGAGGTCTCATCATTTGTGCACTTCACTGTTTCAACACCTCATATACAGACACACACACAGAAACACATACACAAATGCATTCACACACACAAACGCATCCACGCACATACACGCACACACACACTGGTGAATGGCGCTGAGAGACAAGTGGACAAGCAGTGTATTCTTCCTCTCATTCAGCGCAGGCCGTTAGAGACCGGCTGTTGCCCAGAGCAACAACTCTTTGCCACGGATACGTAGTGAATGTAAACAATCTGCGTCGATCCTTCTCTGGTTGGACATGAACAAAACCTGATTATTGCAGCGACAGAGACAGGCAGACACAGAGCAGAGTTGCGAAGCTGGTGCACAGTATTCTGCCTCTCCCTCACAGAGTTCTCTCTCTCAAAGACTCTATCGAACATCAGTTGTTTGTTTGGCGAGCCACTGTGGCGCCACACAAAATAAACCAGCCTCACATCGACCGTCCCGACACAAACCATTTCATGATGAACACACAGTCTGACTGACAGCAGCGCCCTCAGCACTTGACAAATCTGTTAGAAGCACAGAATCACCACAGCTACAAAAGTCCATAAACCACAACAGCACTGTGGAGCTGTTCTACCAATGGCCTTACAATTACATCAATTACATAGAGATAAACAGATACTTTATTGGTCTTAGAGGAAATTCAAGTTCAGCTGCAGCCCTATTTCCACTGCATTTCAATAATAAATGTAAGAGAAACATGTCTGTTTGAACATTATAACACATGTACCATTAATTTTGCTTTGGCTCTCATTTCAGGGCTGTAGCTGACTATTTCTTGGTTGACTAAAGACATGTCCTGTGCATTTATTAGTCCTCTAAAAGACACACTGGCAAATGTCCTCAAAATTATTATTATCTTCACAGTCTAATCTAATCTATGTCTGAGAAGTTATAGTAAACTGCATGTACATAAGAAACAGAAAATTAAATTGTCCTGTCATTCCTAAACTCCAGTTAACATGCTTTCTCCTTTTTGTTGCAATGCACATGTACTTGCTTAAGACATCATTGGTCAATTAAAGTAAACTACTTCTCTGATTCTCAAACATTTCACACCAAGCACCACCTAAGGCTATTTTTATTTTTCAAGTACCACTAGATCAAAACTAGGACTAAACCAGGTCTAAAATTAGAATATGGACTATGGATAGGTTTGTTCTAAATGATGATTGACCCAAAATGACAAAAGCATGAACAGATTTGAAACATGAACCACAGTTTGAGAACCACTGTAATAAAATAACTAGAGCCCTACTCATTTTTACTGTAACTTCTATACTTCTCCTCCTCTCGAGCCCTCTCCACATATCCTCTCTCACCTCTGTAGGCCTTTGCGTGTCCTGTGATCAGGTACTTGAGCTCAAAGCTGTAGGACCTCATCTTCTGCTGCGTCTCACTGCGCACCGCCGTCATGTAGTTGTCCTCCATTTTACTGGAGCAGCAGCTTGGCCCCGAGTGGACACACACACGCAGGGACTCATCTTCAACGGATCAACAAGAAAAAAGTAGACAATACACTTGGATTTACAATTATGTTTTCATATACATTATACATTAAATGTGGATTGGGTAACTTTTCTGGTGGAGGGTCTGTCAAATGCTTTTCTCCATGCCTGGAATGTTCCACAGTATGGTACTAAACCTTTCTATCTTCATGGAAACCAACCCAGACCAAGTTACAGGTCAAATCTGTGGAGAGGCAACCCTACTCACAGTCAGAATGCCTGTTTTTCTATCTATTTTTGTGCCATAAAACCACTCATAATTGAATAAATGTAAAGTAGAGCTGTTTAATACTATACTGTGAAAGATTCAAAGCAAAGCAATGACATATCCATAGAAACAAGCAGGTGATGGACCGCCAACAAGAAGTTACACAGTGCACCTTCAAATATTGATTTTGGTAATATACAATAAACAAGGATTCTTAAATGATATGGATGATAACAACATTTTAATTTTAGAAACTTTATCATGATCACACATTTGCACACACATAATATAAACACAAGAGACAATTCTGAAGCTATATTATGCCTTGAGGCTCACAGTCATAGTACAAAATGGGCTTGTGGTGCAAAAAAGACTCTAAGCCTCAGGACTCAAAGCTTATGTGACAGAGTACAATAATAACAGATAGATATAGTATGTCCTGTGAATCGTTATTTCATCTTTGCACTGTTTCTCCTTTAAACTTCCTGTATATAGCTGATATATATTTGTATTACTATATTTCTGTATTTCATTTTTACTTGTACATATGCATTTATACAATTATTTTATTTAGTTGACACCAGTCTCTTGCTATTTTTGCTACCTACTTTAAATTTAGTATTACCATTTATATTTCTTCCTCTTTGTTATTACATTTATTGTGATCTGTGAGCTACTGTGTCCTAATTATTTCCCTTGTGGATCAAGAAAGTTTGTCTAATAATAAAAGGGTGATCTGGCCATATCTGCCAACTAAGATGAAACAAAAGCAAGCGGCACAAGTTCAGAAATAAATGTAAAGTAGGCCTGTCATAATAATTACTATATCAACTTATCATTCAATACATGAATGCTGGAACAATATATTTTGGACTTCAATATTTATTGTGTATACATTTTCTTTCCAAAAAGCTGAATATGTCTTCCATGTCCAATAATAGTACACTATATGTTGCAGCTCAAGCCTTTTAATGATACAGTCTATTTAAAAAAGATTTAATGGGACAAAGATATATTGAAAGTACTTTATGCCACTGACACAATAATAATGCAAGACAATCCCAGTAAAGGATTTTATAATCAAAAGGCCTGAGTTGCAACATATAAATATCAGAATGAACCAATTATTAGCCATTAAAAAGTCCATTAACCTCATTTAACCTTTTACAGCTCAAATGTTAGAAAAATAAAAAAAAGAAAAAGTACACACAATAAATAGTGAGCCCAAAATATATTATTCCAGGTTTCATACTGAATGATAAGTCTATATAGTAATTATCATGACAGGCCTATTTGCAGCCCTGGGACATTACAGAGGTTTGGACAAAAGCAAAAAGCAGTGTGGGAATTGGAGTGCATGAGGCAATGGTAACATTAGAATGCTTTGAATCTATTTTTGTTACAATGGAACACGCTGAATTGTCATTGAGCACATGCAAACATTATAGAGATATAACAGGGACGTGCTGCACCTGTGCGTGAGCCACATACAAGTCTGTCACTCACGGCTTTGCACAGTTAGACTTTGAACAATGAACAGTGTTTTAAATCTCAATATATTTTAAAGTTGCAATTTTTCTGGTGGAGTGCCCGTCAAATGCTTTTCTCAGTGGTGGTGATGTTATTGCTTTATCTGGAATGTTTCACAGTATGGTATTAAAACTTTCTATCTTCACAGAGATCAAACCAGACCAAGTTACAAGTCAGATCTGTGGAGAGCCAACCCCGCTCACCATCAGAATGACTGTTTTCTAGGTATTTTTGAGCAGTAAAAACATTTGTAATTGAATAAATGTAAGGCAGAGCTGTTTAATGCCATACTGTGGAACATTCCAGGCAGAGCAATGACATATGCATAGAAACAAACAGGTGATGGACCCCCAACTAAAAAGTTACATAGTGCACCTTTAAGCGATAGCCTGTGCTGTGATCATTATACATCATGAGTAATTCAAGTCAATTATGCACTTTCTTATTTAAGTTATATTTATTTGTTCAATTATTATGACTTTTGATTTAAAAGTTATATGTTCAGACATGATGGTTACAAAATGTTGTATGCATAATAGGCCTTCTCATCTAATAATGCAAATGTAGTCTTTATGGGTCTCAAAAAGAAACCTTGGTCACTTTTTGTTTCTATACATATTTTCCTCTAAAAATTAAATAATATGATCCATGGACTAAACACACAGGTTTTTGTTTGACATTTTCCAAACATGAAAAGCTGTGTCTCGGGGCTGGCTTTGACTTTTATGATCTTGTGATATAGTCATTACTTTACAAAGTGCCAAAAGTGATATAATATTCTACAGGCCTAGATGTGAACTTGTGTATTATCTGTAAATGTTTATGTGTTGGCTAACTGACCTGCTCGGGGTCTGTCTGGAACCAGCTCCACCGGACCTATTTGGCGCATCATGTAAGCTGTCTTCACCTCATGACAGCTGTCTGCCCCGGCCGATCTACTGGCACTGACCGCCTCCGGTACAAAAACAAATGCAATAAAAATCACCCAGAATAGATCCACGACTTGTAAACCTGCCCGGGACATCGCAACATCTCAATCAAAGGAAAGAGAAGAAGGCACAGACAGAGAGGAGAGTCAATACTGAAGTACCAGCGCGCGCCGCAAACTTCATGTCCACTCTGAACCAAGGATCAGTCAGCGCCCTCCTCCCCTCTGCCCGCCTGTGTCCACCTCTCCTGTCCCAAATGCCACTTTAATAACTCACATGTCGAGCGGGACTTTACACAACCTCAAGCCGTACTTTGTAGCTTAGCTTTGCCACGTTTAATTATGCCATTTTAATACCAGGACAAAGCAAGTATCAATACGCTTTCAGGAAAATAAAATATGCAGAGCTGTGCCTAGAGATGTAAGAAATATTAAAAACAAACACAGAGATAAAATTACCGGGGTTCAGTTTAGTTTTGACTCGCTGGAATAACTTATCTCTAACAACTTTAAGTCATAGTGTAAGCACTCGGCGCCACCTAGCGCTCATTATTGGGTATAACAGCACTCGTTATTGGGCATATCTCCTTGATACTAGATTATGGTTTACGTTTCATACCCATCTTAAAAAAATACTGATGTGACTGTTGTATATAGTTACACTTACAGACTGCTAACTGAATGTAAGTCTCAAACAAAAGTGCCTTCCTATTAAGTAGTCAAACTAATAACACAAAAGATGGTCCTTTGTGGTGTACATTTAATACAAAAGAAGCATTTACAGTACAAAAGCAACATTATCAAATAAAGTTTTTTTTTCTATTGATAAAAGGTCATGATAAAATTATGTTCATTTTATTCAAGACTCTTTTCGTTTCTGTGAGCTGACCCTGCATCTGGCAGCTCAGTTGAATGCCTGAGGAATCTTTCTCCAGAGACCTCCACAAAGACAGTTCTTAATCCAGCGCTGTTCCCACTGCTTCATAGCATTTGATTTGTTGGGAGATTGAAGCATTGTCACGCACCCACATCTAAAATCAAACATTTCAGTAAAGTTACAGAATGACTTCAAACTACTAATAAAATGATCAATCTCCCATCTATAATCTCATCAATAACTCACCTGGTACAAGCCTTGCTCTCTTCTGTGGGGGACACTCCCATATGAATACAGCGAAGGTTATCCATCTTTTGTGAACTGGGACTCCTGTAAAAACACAAATAGTTACATTTGCTCTATGTATAGTAAGACATACAACAGCCATTATCACCACATTAAGTCATATTATGCAAAATTACTCCTGTGAGCTTTTAGCCATGTTATAATTTTGTTACCGCATCAAAAACAAACCTGGAGTTGTGCTCTGCTCCACCTTGTGATGTCATGAACCGGTAGTTTTCAACTTAACAGCTACCTTTGACCTTTTTTCACTAGAGATAGATGGTTAAGCGGAAATCATCCAAATGATTCTAGTGAAGGTATATGGAGTTTAAAAACAGAGAGGAGCACTTCCAGTATTACTACATGACATCACAAGTTAGAACAGAGTGTTGCTGGTTTGAGAGAAGAACTAAATATTCAGCGATTTTGTGTTAAACATGTGTGAAAGAAACAAAATACAACTTTTAGAGACCTCAGTTTACCCACACATTTGTATAATAGGACTATGTTTTAAAATGCAGACAGATACAGGATGATGATGCAGACTGTTCTTACCTGGTGAAGACCTCCAGTGGGGTGGTGGAGCCCTGTCCTGGCAGAGAGGAGGGCTTCCCAAACTGCAGGCGGAGCGGATGTTTACCCTGTAGCTTCACAATTACCCCATCATTGACTGGTAACCAGTCCATTGTGGGCACAAGCAGCTGACTGGGCAGCAGGCAGCACTCATCGATCAAGCTCTCATCGGGGTCCTGTGGAGGTGCATCTTCCCGACCTAAGACATAGAGAGATTAAAGAGGACATAGTATGGAAAATCTACTTTTTTGAGTTTAAACAATATTACAAGTGTTCCCTCATCATTGTTTTACAGTTTTTTAATGAAATTAAATGCTATATAAAAATGTGGATTTGATTGGATTACGCAAAGTATATTAAAGTTGATTCAAGCATGTTTGTCCTGCAGTTGAGAGCTCAGAAAATAGCCATTTTCACCTACCCCCTATCTCTGCCCACTGCTTTGTACTTGTGATTATTTAAGATATTCAGACTCTGAGGTATACAAGTTAGATTAAAATGTTACTTAGTCATTTTCAACTGTAAAAACACATAAATGAAAATCTGCTGCTTGCTACTGTGAAATGCCATTTTTCTGAAGGGGAAGGCCATGTCAGTTCTGAAGATGAAGTCAACAAACACATTTCTATTACCAAGTCGGATTAGAGCAATTTTGTGGTTTACAATGTCAAATAATATATAATCTATGTATGTTATAGTTTAAAACTAAACATACAGGGTTTGTGAAATAAACAAGTGAACAAAAACAAAACTCTATGAGTATGTTTTCTGAGGAAACAAAATCATAACATAGATCAGAAAATAGTGTAAGTTGGTTTCTTACTGCAAAGCCACAGTTTGGTGAGCAGCCTGAAGAGTAGCTGCAGACTGTCCTGGTTGTCTGATGTGGCGGTGAAAGTGGGCAGGCAGCTGGTCTTCAGTAAACCCCAGATCCGGATCATGACCAACATCTCACGCAGCATCCCCAGAGAAGCTCCATCACGCATGAAGCCAAAGCCGGGACGCACCATTGAGCCCTACAGTGAAAGAAAAGAGATGTGTTGAACTAAAGGTGAATATTCAATATTATTAAGGGCTTTAACAAATAATTTGCAGTTGATAAGTATTTTTTTTCAACTGTACAGTGATATTTAGAAAATACATTTTGAAAGGTCCTGTATAACAAAAGATTGTGAGCTTTAAACCATATTGTCGAGTTGTTGTGTTTTGTTTCATTCACACGTTTTGAGTTATTAGTCTGTCTGCATGTCTAAGATAAAATGTTTTGTTGCACCTTGTGATGTCATGTAATGGTAATTAACAGTAGTTAACAGCAAGCTTTTACTTTCTGTTCAGCAGAGATTGGCTATTCCAGGACTGAATTCATCCAGATAACTCTGGTGAAGGTGCATAGAGTTTAAAAACACAGCAGATACTTCCTGTATTACCACATGACATCATAAGGTGTAATAGAGTGTTTTTTGTTTGTGAAGAGAGCTCTAAATATGCAGGGTTTGTGGGTTAAACATGTGTGAATGAAACAAAACACAACTCCAGGTATGTTCTTGATGAGGAAACAACATTATAACATAGACCAGAATAAAGCATAATATAGACCCAAACAAAGGTAAATATATTCAACAAAAATATATATTTTTGATGAAGAAATCAGAAATCATTTATGTTTTTTTTAGTAATTTAATAATGCCACATTAATGTAAAATATTTTCAGCTCTGTTATTATCATATCTTACCTGGTTTGGCAGGTTGGCTAACAAGTAGAGAACAAAGTCTCCCACCCACTGAATGAGCTGCTGCAGTGACTGTAAATGTGGGCCATCCAAAACAAAATCTTGTGTATTTAGATTAATCATCACCTTGTCAATATCTAAAAAAGTAAAGTTCAAATGTCAGTACTAGTTAGTTTAAAAATTACACAGGAGATCACTGCACAAACTGCTTTATACCTGTGTCTGTATTCTTAGCACAGATCTCAGTGAGGCGGTCTCCAGGGCTGTCTGGTGAGTTCAGAACATGTGGTCTGAGTAGGGACTTTAATGTGGCACTGATGGCTATGAGCAGCAGTTTGGCATGGAAGTCACAAGCCCGGGCAGCTGTAGCAGTAGACAATTTACACAACGAGGCTTTCACTGCCACAATACGAGTGGCGAGAACCTGTAATAACAATAACAACAACACAGGTATGAAAAATGGTCAAGTTATGTTTTTGTTAAAGGTGCATTGTATAACTTTTATGGTGGAAGGTCTGTCATATGCTTTTCTTCATGGAGATGTAAGTGCTTTGTCTGCATTGTTCCATAGTATGGCATTAAACCTTTCCATCTTCATGGAGATCAGCAATGGAACATTTGAAGCAGAGGAGAGACATATCCATAGAAACAAGAAGGTGATGGAACCCAACCAAAAGTTACATAGTGCACCTTACATAGCTGCACTCTGCATTTTTTTTTAGTGGAGGGTCTGCTACACTTGTCTTCATGCAGCTATTATCCTGTTGCCTGGAATGTTTCAAAGTATGGGTTTGGTGGAGATGCCACCAGACCATATTACAGATGTGTGGAACGGTGACCCCAATAACAGAAATATGAAGTAAAAAGACACGTTTTTTTTTTGCTGCATAAGAACATTTGAAATAAAAGGCAGATATACATGTTTACTGCAATGCTGTGGAACAACTACAGACAAAGCAATAGCATCTCAATGGAAGCAAGTAGGTGGCAGAGCATCCACTAGAAAAATTACATAATGCACCTTTAAAGTAAGCATTTCCATTTTACTGACCTGTTGTAAAGCCTGGTTCTGCCTCATATACTCTTCATGCAGTTTCTCAACCAAATTATGGACCATAGTCGGCTGAACATGAAGAAGGACATCCCACCAGTCGTACCCCGTTACCATGCAGTACTCCAAGAGAAACAGGAGATGGCGTAGTGTTGTGTTCATGTCCAGTACCTGTCCCATGGAAGGAGACACTCGCAGCATGTGAAGCTGCATACAAAGAAATGAACATGAAAAATACGTAATGTAAAAACTTACTGACAGATAAGTCAGTAACTTAAATTACATAGACTTAACTAATCAACTATTTTTTTGATTAAAATAGTTATTCAGAACTTCAAGCAAGGTGACAAATCCATTTAGATGCATAATTTTTAGTTATTTTGGGGGATTGAAATTAATAATGTTATGCTCAATAGTTATCCCGTGGCAGTTTAGTCTCTTTCAGTGTAATTTTGAATATATAAATATTTCAAAAAGAAAAGGAAATACAAATGGGGAGACCAGTTGACCTCCTACACTCACTACATCACACTCACTAATCATATTGAAAACTTTACTTTGCCATGGTTGTCAATTCCTGCAAGTGCGAGCGATGTCCAAGAGAACTGAATGGCCTTAAAGTGGATGGCAGGTCCACCAGTTCTTTGGCGTTTGATTGCAGACTCCTCCCCAGACCGCTGTCCAGGGCCAGCGGTCGAGGAGGAGCCATAGAAAACGCACATGGTATGAAGAGTGGATCGGTGGAGGATCTGAATGCTGCCATCATGGAAGGCCAGAGCCAAACCTAAAGATGGAGAAAAAACATTTGTAGAAACATGAATACAGCTATGCATTATAAAATTACTCACTGAATGCTGGTTGCTTACCAAGTCCTGGGCAAAACTTTGTATCTGTGTTGGAGCTGGAAATAGGTAGTTTAGGAAGAGCTATAGCTGATACTCTCTCTAGGTCATGGGTGGTTGTAAGAATGCGCCATTTCAGGATGGTTGGCTGTTTTTCAACAACTGCAATGATACAATCACAATTAAAAGGGCATGAAAAACTACAGGCAATTGAAATAATGCAGTTACAGTATTTATTTGATAAGTATTAGAATTACTTTGAAAAAAAAAAGTGATAAATAAGACTTTTGATACGAGAAGCTATATTCAAAATAAAATGTACAGTACACATATGATTCTTACCAACGGGAGATCGATGCCGAAAGATGTTGTTGACCGGAAGGCCCTCTTTCCTCAGAGACCAACACTCTACAATGCTGCCAGTTTGATTGGATGCACACAGCAGGACCTACACAAAGGCACAGTTAAAAGTATTATATTTATTCAATATAAAGATATGCCTGATTGTCTTTATGATTTACCTGTTCTGAGTTTTCTCTGGTCAAAAACTTGAGGTGGGTAACAGCTGGGTATTTATCTCTTTTATGTAGATCTGTTGTGCAGCGAAGAAAGAGAGACGGCAGGAGCTCTGTGTCAATGCGGCATTTTTCACTAACAACACTAACCACCACCTACAAAAGGAATAACATTATAAAATATGAAATGTCAACTTGGTCATCTTTTTAATAGTAATGTATCTAATATGTATAATAAATGTAATATTACAAGTAAAAATTAAGGACTATTAATTCAATAGGTTATACAATAGATTTGAATCTTGCAGAAGCTTAGTTTTCTCTAACCTTATAGAACTGGACAGGAGAGGAACTGCTGCCATCTGTAGCTGCTACCACAATATTTCCACCTCCGGTAAAGGCAATGTCTGCCAGGGCCACACGTCCTCTCAGCCGGCATAGGCTCTCACTGGCTGTTAGCAGAGTGCCTCCTGGCTTCAGCAGTGACACTGTGACCAAACCACTGACAGTCACAGCTAACCACCCCTCCATGGGCTTTCCTCCAAAAAGGGTCAGAGATGGGGAAAACTTCACTCTGGAAAACTTCTCACTAAAGTTTGTTGAGCTAGACTAAAGAAAAACAAAAACAAAGTTAAAAAGTCAACATTACAGAAATCATGCAATGTTAATGTAATATGTTTTAATATTTCAAACCATTTCAACATGCAGAGCCAGCTTGACACCATTATGCAGCCAGCTAAGGGCTACAATGGGGTCCCCATCCACAGAGTTGGACAAGTAGCTCTCCCAGCTGTTGACAAGATGGTCAGACATAGACCAGCATTTAATCTTGCCGTCACCATCAGCAGATAAAAGCCTCGAACCTCAAACACAAAAATGTATTAGGTGAAAATCTTTTTTTAGACTGTACATTCAAACAAATAATGTTGGGATGTAAAGCTACTAGTACACTTACAAGTGGTTATTACAATGTAATTATAGACCGCTATAGCATATTGCTATACAAAAAAATGCGTCATCCTCTTTGGTCTTAGTTTTACAACAGGTGCCAGACTGTGGTGCAGCCTCACCTGATTGGTCCCACTCCAAACATGAAATGACCTCTGTATGTCCTGAGTTGATAGAGTAAACATCCCAAGGATGCTCAGTGTCAATGATATGGATCATGTGGCTGACATCTGTAAAACATAGTCTTTACTTTAAATATGTCAGAGCAGCCAGGCAGTACAGTATTACCATGTGAAATCACAATTTACCCTTTTCTTCATCATCATTCTTTAAGTCTGTGGTGAAAGCCACGAGGTTTCTGCAGGACCAAGAGCACACCAGAGGGATGGAGGGACAGTGGGTGCTTTTGGGACGTTTTTCCCACTCACACACATAAGTAAGCTCCATGTCTCGACCGCCAAAGAAGAGGCCCGGAGGAGGCCTAACCTGAAAAAATGTTGCAACAGCACTCAGTCTTATATGTGCTACAAGATCGATTCTGCACTTTTATTGACAAATACAGTAAAACAATATGCATCGTATGTGTGGTTCATACCACTGATGTATTAATAATATGAATTAATATATTATGATCGATATTATATATATTATATGATATTGTTACTCATAGCGTAATCAGATTTTACTACATTGTATTTAATCTATTCAAGTGTTTCGAGCTCATAATTTCCACATGATAAATGATCATTTAAACCAGTTAGAACAGAGCGAGCTAGATCGGTAATAATATACGACTCATATTTTTCCTAGAAAACAGACAGCGAAACAGTGTGTTTACCTTCAACTCGAAACGTAGCAGTAAAAGCGTATTTTTATGTTCAAAACAAATCCACTTCTTTCATTCAGCTCGGGCTAAACAATATTTCAGGACCCCTCCGAGAGCTTTGCTGTCTCACGATTTTCCTTTTTTTTTTGGTTTGTTTTAACTAAAAGCAAACCAGCAAGTGATAAATAAAACACATTATCACAAAATATTATAATTGATTATTGACTTACGTTTATGTTGGGTTAAAATTGTTATACAATTTTATTTTATTTGATTCCTATTCAGATGTATTGTCAGGCATGTGTAAGAGGTCTATGTTTGCAAAAATGCTACCCTGATATTCTTCTTATTAATATTTTTCTGGGAGAGTGAAGCAAAAATATGACGCATAATATATAATATGGAGATAATATATCGTATAATGTTTTATATAAAATTACATACAACAAAATAGTTTGTGAAAATTGTATTGTTTTGGTATTTCCATCTTCTTTTTGGTTTCGCACATTCGATACAGAATCTACAGGACACCAACAGCATTAAGATATTCCGGAAAAGTTATATTTCACTTTTTGGCAAAGAAAAAAATATTAAAAGATGTAGCGTGCATAGACAAAATTTCCATAGTACAATATTATTAATATATTTCTCTTGAATCTGTGAAGAGGAGCAGTAAGTCAAAATTACGACACATGGGGCAGTCTGTTGTTTTCGGCCCTGTTGTAGTTTCGCTGTGGCCGTAGTTTCGACACCGATCAGTCGCGTACAAGATGTTTTATCAGAACTAAAGCATAAAGTTATTAGTAGAATTTACATTGGCCCGAGTTCATTCACTGCGGTTGATTTGTAATCGACAATAATACATACTTGGTTAAGTGTCAACCAATATCGCGCGGTATTCGCACTGGAACCAGTTTATCTTGATAGTTGCTTGTTAGCTTAGCCACCCAGTCTGTGCTAATCAGTTCGCTGTTGCGTGAGACTTCTCTGTCTGCGTTTATAACGCAGGAACAAAATGAGCACACAGTCCCCAATATAACTGGTAAGTTGACATGGACTTACTTATATATCAAATCACATAGAAAGCTGTTGCGTGCTTTTTGTGTCGTGCGTGGCAGCCGTTTAGGTGATGTCTAGCTAACGTTACTTGCTGAGGCCTGAAATTAACTATTGCAACATGCAATTTCCTCCATAATGTGACCAATAACGATGTGAGCCTTGTATCTGTGGATGTGAGAGTTGTTGCCAGAGCCTAGCGTCAGTTATTTCTCCATCTCACACTCGACATAACGTCAGTGCAATGTGCAGTTTTCAACGAGCATAAAATGTTATTTTGACTTTTCACAAAAGTAAACTAGCTGTGTTTTTGTTCATTGTCACATTTCAGTTGCTAAATATTCCAAGTGTATCTGAATCGCTTTGACGCTCTTATCTTCTGAGTTTTGCAACTTAAGAACTTCACTGCACTGTCACTGTTTTATTGTGTCCGTACTGTAAAGCTGTTTGACCCAATCACCTCTTGACCTAAAAAATGTTGAGTAATGATGAAAATTGTTTTTGTGTTTTAGTGTTGTACAACCCCATATCTATGTCCCGGAGGTCAGAGGATACAGCTAATTACCACAGCCTTCACAGCAGATATGCTGACCTAGGAGCAGCGCAGAGACGTTTCTGTGCAGAGTGACCTGAGCTGACTGTGACCTCGATTCCTCCCAAACCCCAGTCCCTGTCTGCAAGAGGTCATGTCGGACAACACGCCCAACAACAATGTGCCTCTCAATAATAATAACAACCGCATGCGGAACCCCAACATCAACCAGAACCCGCTCATCAATGTTCGTGACCGCCTCTTTCACGCCCTCTTCTTCAAGATGGCTGTTACCTATGCCAGACTCTTCCCTCCGTCCTTCAGAAGGGTGTTTGAGTTCTTTGTTCTTCTCAAGGTAATGCATTCTTCACTTCACTAGATTAGCTCTACTAATTCAAACAGTACACATATTCATGAATTGATTGCTGGTTTGCACATTAGGATGCAAAGGAAATGGAGTGGATCCCTGTATAAGTCTGGCATTTGTTTGTAAATTTTTTCTAGGTGTGATCTATAACACTGACAACTTTTATTTGGGATACTGAAATGTACTGACTCATTTTAGCAATAGCCAAGTTAGGGACTAAATTGGGAAAATAATGGATAAATACTGCCTTGAATGTCGGGGTCTTAAATTGCTCCATTGGATTAGTAGTCATGCACTCAGGCTTTTCTCCACTTAACCACACAAAAACCAAAGTGTGCTGAGTCATCAACAGACTGCTTTTGATTTGATTGGCAACCCCTTAGGATTATGTGCAACGCAGCACTGTAAATCTGATGATGCATTTCCCTTTAGTGTAGTTTGAGGCAGGTTAGTTGCTTGTATTTTATTATTTTGCTGCTCATGCAAGGAACTGTCAGACTCAGTACTGGGTTTTCACCACAAATTGATAAGATAGTGAACTAGCAGTACTTTGGTCTACTTAGATTTTTCATAGTTGTTTGAATTACCTGATCATTGGGATGAGAGCTGTTTGGCTGTACAAGGGTAGTCCACCCTACTTGACTTTTCTGTAACTGTTGTGAAAAAGCAGTTTTAAAACTGTAAACAAGCACATTTAAATACAAAAATTGTTCTTTCAGTTTGAAAATCAAGTACTTCAGCTTTAATCGTGATCCCTCCCCCCATCTCGATTTCATTTTAACCAGGCACTCTTCGTCCTGTTCATCCTCGCCTACATACACATTGCCTTTTCACGATCACCCATCAACTGTCTGGAAGGGGTAAGGGACCGCTGGCCTCGTGACGGCATCCTCCGGGTGGAGATCCAGAGGAACTCCACCAGAGCCCCTGTTTTTCTTCAGTACTACGACTCGAGTTTCCAGGAGGAGATGGAGGCAGAGGATACTGGGGGAGGTCCGAGTATAGCTGGGCTCAGTCTGGCAGCGCTGCAGGACGAAGAGGAGGAAGAGGAGGAGATGACTCTGGAGATGTTTGACAATAGCTCTGTGCATGTAAGATGAACAAAATATAACTCTTGGTAGTTCTGAGACTCTAGAAGTAGTGATATGCCACTTCCAGATGGTATGATGATGATGATTATTATTATCATCATCAGTATCAGTATCAGTAGTAGTAGTAGTAGTATTTTCATAGAACATAAAACAAAAACTTTATTGTTTTTGGACTAAGTCCCCAATTTGTTTACTTTTATCTAACTACTACACAAATTAGCATATCTTAATTTTACCTGCAAGTAATCAATATGACCTTGGTACCACTACTTTGACAAGGACACAAGAAGAATTTGGTACTTCACTATATTTACTCTGTTTTTGACATGTTGCCCCAGCCATATAAAAGCAAGGGTAATTTGCTTAAGATAAATCTCACAAACAGAATATTAGTTAACATTTTCTCTCATCATTAAATGTTTTGATAGTTAGTCTAACTTGCTCCTATTTTAAAGATTGTCTAATGATTCCAGTTTGAGTTGGACCTGGAGCCTCGCCTGAAGCCCTCCCTAGTTGGTGGAGCTGTGGGGGCAGGAGGAGGAGGAGGGCCAGCAGTGAACGAAAGCCAGGATGTCTCCTTCAGCCAGACCACTAAAGGTATGCAGCCGCTGCAGGACTCTGTGTCTGAGCTGGAGATGCTAACCAGAGCAGGTAAACCCTCTACCTCTCAGTACTTCATCTCTGAGCTCCTCTGGACTGTCCTGTCTTTTGGCTCATCTGATGCTTGATGCCATGTTACACTGATAGCTTTATCTGTCCTCCATGTTGTTTATACAGTTTGGCCTCAAGAGGAGTACATTGTGGAGTATTCTCTGGAGTATGGTTTCCTGCGCCTGTCTCAAAGCACCAGACAAAGGCTAAATATCCCTGTCATGATAGTTACTCTGGGTAGGAATCAGTTCAGCTCTCATAACATGAGTGCCTTTCCCATTTATTTTTATATTATCATTTTTAGCTTTATGCATTTTAACACGTTTTATTTATGATTTACTCTCTTTTATTGTATTAATTTGTCTCTGCAGCACTTTAGAAAATGTCATCTTTATATATAACTAAAGTGGATTGGATTTGACTTTTGTCTGTTTTATTCTAGATCCCATGAAGGATGAATGTTTTGGGGATGGCTTTAGTCGCTTCTTGCTGGATGAATTTTTAGGCTATGATGATATCTTGATGTCCAGTGTCAAGGCCCTGGCAGAGAATGAGGAAAACAAAGGTAAAAACCAGTCATTTAAAGTCAAAATTAAGCAAAAATACTGTTCGGCTGCACTCATCTCCAGGTTTCTTAAATGTACCATTGATTTTTAGGATTTTTGAGAAACGTGGTTTCTGGTGAACATTACCGCTTTGTCAGCATGTGGATGGCAAGGACGTCATACCTGGCTGCTTTTGTCATTATGGTAATCTTTGTAAGTAACTGAGTTAAAATTTCAGTATTGAATACTATTGTTTTTTTGGTTTTTTTTCACTTTATGTTTTATGTCTTTCAGACTTTGTCCGTTTCTATGCTGCTCAGATATTCGCACCATCAAATCTTTGTCTTTATTGGTTAGTTTCCTAACAAAACATTACATCAAATGACCATGTTGTTTGCTCTAATGGGCAATAACTCACAAAATGTTCTTTACATTTCAGTGGACCTTCTTCAGATGTTGGAGATGAACATGACCATTGCTTTCCCCGCTGCCCCTCTGCTCACAGTCATCCTGGCGCTTGTTGGTAAATTCAGAACCTAAAGGAGAAAGTTCCTCAGGGTTTTTTTAATTGATCATTGAATCAATTTGTCATCCCCAGGAATGGAGGCCATTATGTCTGAATTTTTTAATGACACAACAACTGCCTTTTACATCATCCTCATTGTGTGGTTAGCTGACCAATATGATGCTATCTGCTGTCACACTAACACTAGCAAACGCCATTGGCTGAGGTTTGTAATAAAATGTATATTGTGAATATTAATAATTAATGTTGATTTACTTTTAGCCCCATTTTAGTATTTGGTTAAGAACAAAAGAAAGCTGATTGCTCTCTTGTATTGCAGATTCTTTTATTTATACCACTTTGCCTTCTATGCTTATCACTATCGCTTTAACGGCCAGTACAGCAGCCTGGCCTTGGTAACATCCTGGCTTTTTATCCAGGTAAGCATCTTTAACTTAGACTTATATTATGCAATACACTGTCACAGGTAGAAATGTATACCTTGCTATTGGTAATGTAATTATGTTAAGTGTATATTTAATCCATATACTGATGATGAACTTGTTTAACAGTGGTTATTTTCTTTTGCACTGCATTAAACATCTGCCCCCTTTTCCACAGCACTCCATGATCTACTTTTTTCATCATTATGAACTTCCTGCCATCCTACAACAAATCCGGATTCAGGAGATGCTTCTACAGAACCAGCAGGCGGGCCAGAACAACCCCACAGCCCTGCAGGACAGCGCCTCTGCTACAGTGCAACCTGGACCTGCTCCTGACGCAGCCCCTCCCGCACCTGTTGCCCCCGGCCCTGAGACAGAGACCCAGACGGAGCTGCAGACCGCTGCCTCTGCACCAGCCTCCACCTCAAACCCCACCACGTCAAACCCCACCATCTCTGAGGCTGCTGCAGGGGATGTCCGCTCGGAGCTCAACTGGGTGGCTCAGACCGCAGCCATCATCACTGAGGCTCTGTCCAGCTCAGCCCAGCAAAGCAGCACAGTGCATTTCAGAGTCAGGGAGGGGGGGTCTGCCTCCACTACAGGAGACAATGGGACTCTGGGGGCAGGAGAGATTAATATGGAAGTGTGGGTTGGAGGGGCAACACCGAGAGGTGAAACAGAAAACAGTACAGTAGGACCAGATGTCACAACATTAAAAAATAAGAACTCAGTGATGGATGCTACATCCACAGCCGCATCCCCACCAAGCCCCACGTTTGTCAGACAACCACAGGAAGCACAAGTGGCCTCTGGAGGGAGCCCTACTCCTTTACAAACAGACTGTGCTATTTTACAGACTTCAGGTACAGACTGGGACCCTAGAGCTGAGCAGAACTCCTCCACTAGCCCTTCATGAGACCCAATGACAATATCTCACTTATCAGACTTTGTGCCTCAGCAAGTGAGCTAATCAGAGGGTTCAATAATAATTACCTATTTTCTGAGATTAGTTCTCATTTTAAGTGAATCCAAAGTGAGAAAACAGGGTGTTGGACCATTGATAATAAAAAAAAAAGACTAAAATAATAACCAGACAAGTTTAAATCATTAAAAGCTTTCTTGTTGCATCATTAGTGGTCTGGACCCACCTTCTAGTCAGTTCAGATTTTCATCCTCTGAATGGGATTCAAATGGGCCCATCAGTGGATTGTCTTTCTCGAATTGACTAAAATGTGAAGCATCACTCTGTGAGACCTTATAGCTGCTGGTTGGGATCATTTTGCTTAGTTTAATCTACAACATGTTTAATACAAACACATGAGAATGTTAAACAAGATGTAAGTTTTTTTGTACCAGACTGAAGGACTGAAGCACAAGAGATACTTTTCAGAGTTTTATTTATGAGAACAGATTCTCAGAAAAAGTACTTTGGCCAGGACACAACAGTGGATGACTGTCCTGTGCCAATGAATGCCTTATGAATATCCCCATATGGACAGTACAATGCACAGATCTGCTGAAACTTACCCAATACACGTTCCCCTGCCTCCCATGAGAGGTGCTGTGTTCTTTTACAGAATTAAGAAACTGGCTGCGTTAATAATACCAATTCTGAAGTGACTAAAACTAAACACTGTGGATGTAAGGTGTGTTTTGCCTGATTTTGGGAGTGTGGTAAAGATTGCTGATGCACACTTGGAAATATGACTGTGCCTCTGCAGCGAGATTAAAGCTTAATCATTGAACTCTTCAAATGTATTTTATTGTTCAGTAAAGTTGGCTCACATCAGCTGTCTGCCCAAAGCCTGCCTGGTTTTGTTATTATTATTGAATTATTATCATTTTGTTCTAGGCCAGTGTTTCCCAAACTTTTCACTCTTGGTACCGCTTACAAAAATATCCAGCTTAGCATGTATCACTAATTTTAACCAACTCTGAAACAGTCCTTTAACAGATATAAAGTGTAATAATGCATTCGTCTTATATAGCACTTTTCCATACACTCAAAATCCCATTACAGTTTTGTGTATTATTTATTCACTGGATACTCCAAGCTACTAGAAGCTGCTAGTTCTGGTGAGGGTGTCTGTGTGAGGAGAATTTCTGTTTTATTTCTGTTGAGTTTTGGAAAATTATAAGTGAACCATAATTTAATGTCAAGGAGACAATCGGTGAGGGAGGAGAAAGATAATATGGCGGTAGGTTTGGTGAGGTAGAGCAAGGTATCAATCACATAGCACTGAAATTAGATGTGTTTGCTGAAGATCTGACCAAGCAGGATGAGATAAATGATAATGAAGAGGAGTGGTCCCAGGGTTAGGGTTAAACTTTTTTTTTTTTTTTTTTTTTTGCCTCACTCACCTTTATGGAGAGCTAGAATGCTATCATTCTAAAATAACTTATCAGCATTAGCATAGACCATATGATCACTAGCTATGAACTCTTAGACCCCAACACTTAATTTATTTGATTCATTTTTTAATTTACATTGTCCCTGTTTGACCTCTCATTTGTCATGCTTAATTACTTGGCCAATTAACACTGACAGTTTGTATCATATAATTTTGCATAATAATAATAAAATATAGATCCATGCTTCCTCCTAGCACCTCACGTCACCCAGAGCATTGGCGTCATCTGCTGGAGAAAGTCAGGTTGAGGTTAACAACATACTGTACACTGATGATGATTATTCAGAATTAAATTTAAATCTGAATTAAGTGGGTGGTTTATTCCATTTTAAAGCCGAATTAATTTATTCCGCGATCATGTAAATGTTTATTCCGCTGAAAAATAAGCGGACTACAATATGGTGAAAAAAGTTTGTATCATGTTTTTGTCCCGTACCTCTGTTCCCCGATGCCTATGTACTTGTGAAAGGCACCGATGTCCCCGTTAACACCGCGAGCCGTCCTCATCCCAAGTTATCATCATGAAGTGATGAAACAACAGTATGTAGCTAACTCTGTACGCAACTCACTGCACATCAGCCCGGAGCAGAAGCACTGAGTTCACCGGTAAAAGCACTGGAGCACTCACCATAGCTCCCGGCCCCTCCTTTGTCTTGTGATGTACTCCAAGCGGGGTGGTCAGACCGGCTCCGTCCTCCATGTGCTGGTTCCAGATGGAGACGAGCAGTACCACTGGTACCAAGGTGGTGCAAATCATTCAGACAGAGACGTGAATCCCATTTGGTTGGTTTTATCTTGTTCTGAGCAGTCCGCCCTCCGTGCTCTTTCTTCTCTTTCTTCCCCGGGGAAAGCGCTTCTCAGGCTGAGGCACCTAACACCAGTCTCCGCTCCAGCTCATCTGGGCCCGACCTGAACCGGAGCTGTTCCCGCTGGTTCTGGAGTCTGGGTTTTCACCGCTGTTCCCCAGTTTGTGTGGGTGGAGGAATAGCGGTACGCATCCTCATGCATAACAACAAACCAAGATGATAAAAAAAAAAAGCTGGTAGCAGATGAAGTGTCTGTGTGTTTTTTTCCGGTAGACATAAATACATTCGTGTTCCTGTCCAATCAGAAACCTTCCCGTAGTCCGACGTTGAGCGGAATCAAATAAAGCCGATTAAACGTTTTTTTCCACGTAAACCTTAATTTGGAATATTATTTCCATGTAAACTCGAGAAAAAAGAAAAAAAAAACATAAACAAGGCCAATGTCGTATTATTTAAAATAATAATAATAATAATAATAATGATAATAATAATAATAATAATAATAATAATAATAATAATAATAATAATAATAATAATAATAATAATAATAATAACATGAGGACCCCCAGAGGACCTCATATAACACTTACCACCATTACCTTCACCACCAGACCAGAGTGAAAAATCATTTAATGGGGAATGGGCAATAAGGAGCATTTATTTTAACAACAAATTCATTTATTACATAAATAGTTTATTTACATAACCATTTGTGTCACTGAAAAAATCTCTTCCTCAAAAGCCAAAAATATCGCCCACCCATGCATTCACCCTCAATGACGTTTCAACACCCACCATAGTGACGTAACGGGGTGGTTTCCGCTGCGGAAGCCGCTGCTGCATGTAAACAAAGCGGATAGCTGCACAGGTCGGCGGCAGAGAGAGCTTCGCTTTAACTTAAACACAAGGCATTTCCATCCATAAATGAGCAAAGGCTCTCTGATGCATGAAGCGACAGTCTGAATAAACAAACGCCGCCAGGATGTCGATGGAGGACCCGTTCTTCGTCGTCAAAGGGTGAGCACAATACTGTACAGAGCTAACAGTTTACGCTAATGGGATGCTAACCTTGGAGCTAGCGGTTAATTCCAAATAACTTGAAGCGTGTTTGTTATGACAACGATATGATACCATGGAAGTGTCCATGTATTATACAGGAAACTGACCTACAACATAATCTAAAATAGTGCCTGTGTTGTTAAGTCTAACTGCTGTGTGAATTGGATCAATGGTCAATCCTTTGCATAGACTGTATGTTCCATTCCATACTAGCCTGCCACATGGTGTAATAGTAAAAAATACTTAAGATTAATAAGATTAATATTTCTACAGGTCTGAAGTAGAGTTATCAAAAAAAAAAAATCTATACCCAGATACAAATCGATTAAAACGGCTATTAAAACTAAATATGGAAACCAGATTACATATAACTAGCTACTCGAATATCAAAGACAGTTTGTGGCCTCATTAATCCAAAGATATATATTTTTTTAATTGTTACAACAAGTTATCTTGTTTTATCAAATTTGTGTAGGGAAGTGCAGAAGGCAGTGAATGCGGCGCAGAGCCTCCACCAGAGATGGAGCGAGCTGCTACAGGAGGGAGGAGGAGCGTCAAAGGAGGAGATGGACTGGACCACAAATGAACTGAGGAACAGTCTGCGCTCCATTGAGTGGGATTTGGAAGACCTGGATGAGACTATCAATATCCTTAAAGATTTGTTCCATCTGTGTGTTACTGTGTGTCTGTGATTGCATCCATGGAACCCTTAGTTAATATTCCTGACTTTGGAACGTATTGTGGAGTCAAACCCAAAGAAGTTTAATTTGGATGCAACTGAACTGTCAAAGAGGAAATCTTTTATCACTAACACCAGACAGACTGTAAAGGTACTGTTTCCCTTTCTTTTGAGTCTCTTTATTCCATCAACAAAGTGTTCACATTTGCTGCTTTACTTCAGGAAATGAAGGAGCAGATGTCCAGTCCTGCTGCTGTGTCACTGGACAAAAAGAATAAACAGGTGATAACATATTGTGCTCACAATAATAATTTGGCAGTCACATTTTGTTAACTGTAGCATTGATTCTTATCTTGTGCAGGCCTTGCTTGGAGAGCGTGGTGCTCAGGGTCCTATCTGGCAGCCTGGGCCAGATAAATACAGCCGCTTGGATCGGCAGCTACAGAACGCTAACTCTCAGTTTATTGAGGAACAGCAGACCCAGCAACAGGTACAATAACACTGCAGTTATGTGGCTATGACTTTGACTAAGACAATGACAGTTTGTGTGAGGTGTGAACACCCCAAAGGTGCCTTTTTTAAATGGCCATTAAGAATCTGTATTATTGTATTATTAATTTGGTGGAAGCTTACAGTATAATAGAAATGCTATTTTAGACTAATGCCTGTAATATATTTTGATGAAGACAACATGTCTCTATTGTTAGCTGATTGCAGGACAACAAGACGAGCAGTTGGAGCTTGTGTCGGGTACTATTGGTGTGTTAAAAAACATGTCTGAGCGGATCGGTATGGAGCTCGATGAGCAGGCTGTGTAAGACTATATTATTAATAATACTTCTACATACAGATGACTCACTTTCAGCCCCATTGTCTGAGTACTGCCTCTTCTGTTTTCAGGATGTTGGATGATTTCAGTCACGAAATGGACAACACTCAATCCAGACTTGACAATGTTATGAAGAAACTGGCTAAAGTCTCCCACATGACCAGCGGTACTCTAGCTTATAGATAATACACATTCACAAAATGTAACTTCTCAAATTGTCAATAACAAGCTGTGTCTCTCTAGATCGCAGACAGTGGTGTGCTATTGGTATTTTGCTGGGAATCCTCTTCGTCATCATCATCCTCTTTGCAGTCCTTTGATTGAGGGACGGTATTCAAATCACAAACATGTCTTAATTCTCTGTCTACACTCCAACCATTTTAGAATATCTGCATCATGTGGCTGAGCCTGGCGATCATACTGTGAAATGATCTTGTTTAGTTGATGAAGATGGGTGTTTCAAACAATTTGAAAAAAATATGGAATAATAATTATGAGAAGACTGATATCAATCTCTGTTGTTATAGACAGTTAATTAACTTGCTACTTGTCAGATTTTGATTATATACTATACTATACATTGGCTGCAAACTGTTGAATTTACTGTTGCCTCAGCACAATCATTTCAACTCCATCTCTTTTTTTATCCTTTTTATAATAGCTATTTGCAAGCACGTTTAATCGCCTACTTCCAGTGTATGAATAGACATTTTAAGCATATGCAATCATTTCAGATTTTAAGTCTTAATTTGTGTCTCACTTTTGGCTAAACCTCGTTCTATCCTGGTTTAGTCTTGGTTTGTCTTTTGCATATGAAGCTATCGTGGTGCAGCTGTTTTTCTCCAAGTAATAATAGTTCAAATTGAACATTTAAGCAGGTCAAACTATTGTGATGTGACGATGGGACTGCACTGGACCACCTGCTTTTTGATAAAATGTAAAGGCACTTTGGTTCTTTTATTCTTTTACTTAAAACTCCTTTTATTACAACAGAAACTCATATTTTAAGTAGCGCTAACAAGTAAAACCCAATGTTCTTACTTTGGCTAATTCATTTATTCAACATTTTTATTAATACTTGCAGAGATTCTATAACACTAAGGTCTTTTATGTTTACGTTTGATTTTATTCACATTGACTGACAAAATTTCTACTGCTGTGATGGAAATGATTGAAGGCTTTCTCTGCTGCTGAGCTAATATTATTGAAAGCCATACTTCCTGTTACTGTTTGGCTGGCTGAAAAAGCTTTTATTATTATTATTTTTTATTAGTTTTGGTCTCTAGTGTTTTTGTCATAGCAGATATGCATGGTCCTGTTTCACACTACGGTACACAGGGCAAATTTCCATGACAAGTTTTCATGGTGTATCATAGTTTTAGTTTTTTTATGGAATATTCATTTGAATCACCACTCATTATCTGTTCCTTATTTTGCCCTGATGCCAACAAAAATAATGACTGTAATAATGTGTAATATTTATACTTTTCTCGCTTCAGTGGAGTGTTACTGCATAATAGCAGCATAAAACCTCGTGATAAAATGACATTTTAAATGTTTTTAAACTAGTGTTTGTGTTAAGAAAACTTTCAGAAATGGTATTGATCATCTTCAACATAAGCAGGAGCTGCAGGACTATAAATGCGTGGTGTGTGCTTTAATGTTTAATTTTGTTTTCTGAGTATGTCAGACAGTTCATTTGATGTAAATCGAAAGTATTCTTTATGTATTAGAGATTTTACATCTATTCAGACTAAATGTTTTATTTAAAATTGTATCACTATACCATTAACCATATTAACAAAACTTTTGTCTATTTTATCTGTTATATTTGCTTTATAAAGTTAACCAATGTGAACCTTAACATATCTAACATTTTATGAACCACTAAACCTGTAATCATATTACTTCTGTTCAGGATACCACTTTTTTCTGTCTACAAATGTGCAAAAGAATGAATCGAGGCTGTGTTGTTGGTCAGTGATCAATAAATGTCCTGGGGAAAACATCTTATGACTCCTCTGTTCAGATTCAAGACAGGCTAGTCTGATATGCACAAAGATGTAAAACTAAAAGAAAACAATATTACTTATTAAGCTTAACAGAGTATCTTAAAACAGAAACAATGTGTTTATTAAGACACTCAGTTATAAATAATCATAAATACATAACAGGTAAATAAAAATACTGTGTAGGCTGATGTAAATCAATACAACTGCAAGACAACTTTGTGACAGGCAAATAAATTATGGTATACTAAAAGTAAACAGCAGAGTGGCTTTGAAATGCACAGGTTGTCTCCAGCTGAAGCTCAAGTGCTAAAGGTTGCAGTCAGGCAGTGTTTTTGGTGTAGTCCCATCACCGTGACGGAGGCTTCCTCTGCCTCAACACTCTCACCCTCACACTGCTGCTGTGCGTCAGCATGTGGGTCACCTGGTCCAGACTGAGGCATGCCACCTTCTCCTCATTCACCTCCAGGATCTCATCTCCCACAGACAACAACCCGGCATAGAGCTTTTCAGTGCTGCTGTCCAACATGTCCTCCACATACACACCTACACCAGCAGATATCACATCACATGAACCTTAATAATATTGCTGCCAGCCGACAATGTGTAGATAAAACAGTGATACCTGAGTCAGTTCGCCCTTTCCCTCTGCTGATAATAAAGCCATAGGTCTGACTGTGTGGCCGGCTGAGCTCCAGGAGCAGGGTTCCGTCAGTGTAAACCTGGAGAATGCGTCCGACAGAGCGCACGGAGCTTGGGCAACTCACATCCTCCACACTGAGGCAGCGCTGCAGGGGGCTGTGGGCACAACACAGGTCACATCCTGGGACTCAATCCGAGGACCAGTAAACATCAGGACAAGTTTTACCTCTGAGCCCCCGGTTTGTAGTTTTCAGAGCGATCTTTCTTTTTCTGCTCTGACACAAAGCTCTGGACTGAGGCAGACTTTCTTAGCTTTAAAAATGGTGACCCCTGCAAAAAAAAAATGAAATAAGGAAATAAGCAAAAACAGCATTTGCTTGATCAAAACGAATGCACAATGTTGATTTTTCTATTTTCTGCAAAAAATTTACAAAAAAAGGGAAATAGTAAAGACTTCCCCCACTCACTTTCCTATAATTGATATTCTGAGGCCTTTGCTATTTGACAGAAAAAAAAAAAAAAATTTTAAATCATGTTTATCAATCACAATTTTTGAGTCAGTTTGATTTTGTCAAAATTCAAAACAAATAAAAAAAATTAATACAACACAGGCTTTTAATCATTGCCATTTAACACAAGGAATTTCTTCTTAACTCTTGTCCAAGCCACATACTTTAACTGGCAAAAGACTGACTGGAGACCTCTCACTTAAACAGCCCCAAGTTTAGATGTAATTTTAGATTTTCAGCAGTTACAGATGTTCCTTAAAATTGTCCAGTCCTAGATATTAATTTGAAACTTTACTCTGACTTATTTTATATTATTAGCGCTAACCACACGCCCTGAAGTAAATTTTACCTTTCAAATACTTTTCTACGCACCATGGTAAGCGACTGAACAGAGGGGGTCTTCTTGAGGAGGCCATGATACTTTGTGTGACCTGTAGGGGGCTCTGGACCAGGAGAGCAGGGCCGTGAGCTGGTTCTGTCCAGACTGCTGCTCCGACTTCGCCCCAGTCGGACAGAAGAGAAGAGACGACGAAGAGAGAGACGAGAGCCCTCCACCCTGAGATACAGAGAACCAATTAAACCAATGAAAAGCTATGGATTTATCTATTTAATTAATATATGGTATAGTGGTATACTCAGTTACAGTTACCCAAATATATTTAACTTCAGATGTCATGTTCAGAGAGGTACTTAAATACATGACTATATAATGACTGAATAATGCCTGGAAATCCTCATATAAGACTTATTTTATAACCCAATATTAAAAGGCCATATATAACACAAAATGGACTCTTGTGAGCTTTAAGCCATGCTCAGAAACATGTCTGAAGTTGTGTTTTGTTTCATTCACACATTCGAGCATTCCTGCATTATTAGACTTTTGTCTTCTGTTATGTTATATCATATCATGCCCGTACGTTATGTTAATGCTGTTGACTCTTGCCCGTTTTCTCCATGAGGAGATGAAATAAATTAAAATCGGAACCTGAAACCTGAGTCTGTCTACAACTCCAAAACTCAAAATGCTCTGTTCCACCTAGTGATGTCATGAAGCTGTAGTTTAAGTTAACAACTACTGTACCTTTTACCTTTAGTTCAGTAGAGATTGGCAATTCCATTGTTGAAATTATCCAAATGATTCTAGTGAAGGTGTATGGAGTTTAAAAACACAGTGGAGGACTTCCTGTACCATATAACATCACAAGGTGGAACAGGTGGTTTTCTGTTTGAGAATAGTTCAGCCTAAATATGCAGGGTTTGCGTGTTAAAACATGTGTGAATGAAAGAAAAACACAATTCCAGGTATGTTTTTGATGAGAAAACATTATAACATAAATCTGAAAATAGTGTAATACAGTTCACTATAATGAGCTCTAAAGCATAAATAAACTATAAAAACACAATATTTGCTTTCAAAAACTCACGGCTCAAGAGGGGAGTGATGCTCTGCTCTCATTGGCTGTTTTGATCTTTTGGTTCCATTGGGCGTGGATGCTGTAAGGATTTGATGATCTTCTGTGTGAGAAGAATAGTAACAACATGTGAGTACACGCAAACAGCAGAAAGAATCACGCTATAGAAGTCAGTAAACCCCTTTGCTGTTAATTGATAAAAGTAAATGTTGTTTAAAGTCCTGTTTTAATGGCAAAACAACAACATATCCATGGAGAATAGAAGGTTTAGAACCTTCCAGTGAAAAAAAGTACATAATGCCCTTTTAACTTTGATGTAAAAATGTGCTTGATTAAAGGGTCCACATTACACCATTTTCTGATCTGTTATAATGTTGTTTCCTCATCACAAACATACCTGGAGCTGTTTTGTTTAATTCACACATGTTTAACAAACAAACCCTGAATAATTAGGCTGAGCTCTTCCCTCAAACTGAAAACACTCAGGAAGTGCTCCGCTATGTTTTGAAACTCCATACACTTTCACTATAATCATTTGGATGATTTCAGTCCTGGAACTGATCTACTGAACAAAAGGTAAAAGGTAGCTAAGATAAAAACTGATACTACATGGCATCACGAGGTGGAAAAGAGCTTTGGAGATGTAAATAGAGTAATAATAAATAAATAATTACTTAAACATGTATGAATGAAACAAAACACAACTCGGGATGTTTTTGAGAAGAGTCAATTTTGCGAAATGTAGGATCTTTAATTCAATGACACATTATAATTACTGACCTGCTGACGAGGAAGATGTTTTAAACTTGACTTCAGGGCTCCCCTCTGCCACTCTTGACTCTCCCTGAGTTTGGAGCTCTCTTGGGGGCAACTGTTTCTCTGATGCCCTCTCCTCCGTGTGGTCCTCAGTCAGGTTCTGGCACTTCTGGTCTTTGGCTTTGCTTTTTTTATGTTTTCTGTCCGTCCTCGTGTCATTGCGCTTGCCATTGTGTGAAGTTGCAGAGGATAATGCAGGAGGAGAAGGTGAGAAACTTGGAGAAGAGTAGACTTTAGTTTGGTCTGAAACTTCTACATGTGAATGAGTAAGAGTTTGCTCAGGGGCATATGGATTGATAGGCAAGTCTGATCGTAGCGTAGACTGTTTATGGAGTCCATTTTGTTTTGTGTTATTGGTCCTTCTTCTGACCCCTGTGTTTGAGGCTCCCCTGCGGCCCATCTGTTCCCCTGCTTCTCCTCCATCACTGTCACTGTACGTAACCACGCCAATGTAGGTCTCTTTGATAGGTTCTGTGCGAAGACTGATGACTGGTCTAGCAGGTGGGACTGGATACAAAATTTGGCTTTGGTGGTTGTAAACTAGTGGAGTGGGATGAAGTTGGAGGTTGACCCCTAGTTGACCCATGTACTGGCCATCACCTATAGCTTTATACTGGCCGTTGACGTACTGTGATACATCAGGTTTGGATACCAGGATGTCTTGCCCTCGTTGCCCAGCCCTCCTCTTCTGTCGCTCCTGGTAACGTGACTCCGCCTCCCTCTCAGTTTCATCCTCGAAGCGTAGACGGCGGTTTGGGGAGGATTCTGGCCGTCGTCTCGTGGACCGACTAGGTGCTTGGGTGTGAGAAGAGCTGTTAAGGTGTGTGGGCAAAGAGTTCACCTGGGAGACAGCACAGTACCTGACCCCCGGCCTGTAGAAAAAAAAAATCTTAAATTATTGTTATTAAAGGTGCACTGTGTAACGTCTCAGACTGAGGGCCTGCTACATGCTTTTCTTGATATTTATTTGCCAGTTGTTAGCACCAAGCCATGTTACAGGTCAGATCTGAGGAGCCCATTTACAGGAAGAACACATGTTTACTAAGGTATTTAAAGGAATAGACACCTGTAATTGCACAAATACAAGACAGAAAAGTGTAATTTCATAATGCTGAACATTTTAGGCAAAGCAATAGCATCTCCATAGAGAAAAGAACATTATTTTATTGCACTATAGTCAGTTAACCCGGTTGTTATTGTTGGTGACAGAGTGTGACAGGAAGCTGCAGATAAAACATGACAGCTCTCCACAGTGGAGCACATGAGACAGGGTGTGACGACGTGCCCCCATATGACACTTCACTCTTGGGATGTAATTAGACAAAAATGTTCAAACTAATGTGAATATTATGTAAATGAGTTATATGGCAACATAAATTTGGCTAAAGGTCATCAAAGGAGTCACAAGATTTGTATGATATTACAGATATTTTCAAATTAATATTAGCTAATTAAAAAGAATTGTCGGAAAAAACTAATTGATACTAAAACTAGTATCAAAACTAGAAACTAGTATTAATACTTAAAAAATCACAACCATAACAAAATTTCACCTTTCCTGAACAGTTTAAAATTATCAGCGCAAGGAGAAATTCACATAATAAAATAAAGAAAGTAACTATTATTCACAATGACTCTCTTTTACTCTATTATAAAAATATATATATTGCCATTGAAATCGCCCTACTTCTTAACATGGAAAATGTTTTAAAAATTTTAGTATCATGACAAAATTGTAGTTGCAAGATGAGAAACACAATAACTGTTTTCAAAAGAACATAATACATAGATAGGTAATTACATACACCAAGATAGAACAATACCATGAAGTCCCATAGGATTAGATACAATAGATAATAGTACAGAGTCATGTGGACAGCTCAGACAGAGGATCCACCTGTTGAATTTCACTGGTTAAAGTTACACTCAGACATACAATAAACATTGTTCAGTGAAAGAATGGCCAGTTACTTACAGGCAGCGGGCGTCGGGGGCCAGCAGGTTGTGGTCGGCTCTCAGGGGTTCGGGGCGACGCTTCATACGAGCGCTGTCCGCACAACGCTGCTGCCGCGGCAACCGAGCTGACATAAAGGGTCTGACACACGCACAGGCCCGGGACAGGGGCAGCGAGTGGGGGAGGGGTGAGGCTGACGTCAGCTCACTTCATTGGTGCATGGGACAGAGGAAGGATTAGACAGAGCAGCTAGTCAGGACTAATTAACCTGACGAGAACTGACACAGACTGTTTACATCAGCAGTGTGGATGGACTGTGTTACAGTAGGGTGTATGTGTCTGTTTTTTTTGTTTGTTTGTTTATTTGTTTTAAAGCTACTTTTTAAGTTTTTTCATTGTTTAATAATTAATTATAGAATTTCAAAGTATATAAAGCATAAAGGTATACACTTTACTGGGAAAAGTACAGACATAATTTTACTCTAACTCTTTAGAGTGGCAGGATTTTACACGTTACTGTGGATTATGTTTAATTCATACAAAATCCTGTAATTCAGTTTTGTGCAAGAAAATGACAAAATTTCCCATTGCCATAAGCTTTTTGTGTGTTTTTCATAGTTTCTACATCACCTCACAGCCATAAAGAGAGCTAACAGATAAGACTGGCAGATAAAAATGAAAATCAGTTGTGTGACTAACAAGGATTTCATCATGTTTTTCATTTCATCACAATATTTCAAAATATTTAAGGTTGTCTGGGGATCTTTGTTGTAACGGTGTCTAAAAGTATGTTACAATTACCTGTGTTTGTTTCCATTTTGCTGATCCTCTGAATCTGAGACATCTAAATCAGAACCTGAAAAACAAGAAATTCAGCTCTGTTATGTACAGTTGACTTCCAAAAATAAAAATGCAGTAGAATGAACCTATATAAATTTTAGTTATTTATTTATATGGACAGTGCACATTAATGGACATCTGTGAGTACAGTGTAACTTTTACTAATGTAAAAGCCAGTTATTAAGTATTAGAAGAAAGAATAATGTAGAACAATTCCCACTTGAGTCTGAAAGCCTTTTAAGCATAGATATGTACAGTACATATACTCAGTATAATTTTACAGAAATGTGTACAGTACCTGTGTTATTCTCTCCTCCTCTCTCTGACTGACCCTGACCCTCAGCTGCTGGTGCTTTGAGGAGGTGCTGGAGGATGCTGCGGTTCAGCTGAACTCTCTGAGTCAGAGACATGATGTTGGTCCTCAACAACTCCGCCTCCTGGAGCCCGGTGAAGGGGTACGGCACTTCACTATCAGCAGTACTCTCGCAGGGGTCAAAGGTCAGACTGTCCAGGTCACTCTGAGAGCTGAACTCAAGTAGGTCTTCATCACTGCTGCATGAGGTGGAGCCCGCAGTGACGGGATCTAACACATGTGTGCCAGAGCTGTTGGACTTCATGTTGCAGAAGATGGAGGCAAATTATTCAGGTCAGGATAATTCTCTGCAAAAAAACCCAAAACAAAACAGAAAACAGTTAGACATAAATTAATTAAATGCAAAAAGGCAATAATTATACAACCCCCATATAGAAATCACTGGAAGCCTTCTAAGAATGTATTCAATAAACCTAAAACAGGCATAGTAAGATAATCCTCCTGGAAGTTATTCCACCTATTCCTGACCAACATTCAGGGCCAACATTCCTCGGGCGCTGCAGTGGGTTTAACCACTGCTTCTGTGCGGGATAAGAACGTCTACTTTACATTGCCTTAGATAAAGTGATATAGTATAAAAATAATGCTGTTCTCGGTGGGGCTAAATTGTCTGCGGGGAAAACATAGTTGAAATTGTGATTAAATATGCCTTGTATGATTTTAAAATTTGCATTTGGTTTACACTGTAAACAACTCCAGGAGATGACCTGAAAAAGACTAAAATATGAACTGATAAACTAGAATCAAATTAATTTCAGAACATTTTTGTAAAGGTCTAAACTATAGGTACAGCAAGGTTCTTCAATTAAAAGACAGGATATTTTGTTCTTTGTGGAGGACATTTTATTATCTAAAGAACTGCTGCCTTTGCGATTTGATAACTGAGCCCATCAAACTGTGATTTCAATTGCGATAAATTGTGCAACCCTAGTTCTGGGGAATAAAAACAAAATTAAGTGCTTACAGATTGATTACGTCACTCGAGCTATAAATGCTGACAGGGTCTGAGTCCATTCACACCTGAGCAGTTAGCACAGATGACCTGGCACACAAGTATCTCAATTAACAGATGATGCCTGAGCACAACAAGAGGCTGTAGGGACCCTGACCAATCAACACCTTGACATAAATAACCATTTATCCTGAGGAACCTAAGTGTGAAAAAAACACATACCTGAAACATTTTTTTTTCATAAAGTAAAAAGCATACCAAACTAAGCCGTAACAAATCAAAAACATACGGCGAAGATTACGCTGCTATGTAGGTCACAGAGATAAAGTGACTGCCTCAAAATCTTAACTTTGTCAACCAAAACTATGAAAATAATTTCGGCTTCTGGGTCACTTAGGAATTACAGTCTATTTCCAAACCTCTACTCATGTTTCATCTTATCGCTGTGGACCCTCCCCACAGTCCACAAATGCTTCAAATATTTTGTTATCCAGACAGCTGTCTCCTTCTCAGTCCTCTAAATGCACAAAACAATTGTTTATCTAACAGATGAAGTGACCTGTGAACAATGTCATAAAGGGAAAACACAGAAAATAGTTAGCTTGTCAGGAACACTAGAAATTATATATTAACGCAGTTAACTTTAGTTTGCGCAACAGTCCATATCTTATACTTTTCTCAATGAACTGAGCTGAAGGTGCTGTTGTCTTACCTCTAATATCCATACAGCCCATACTGAATGAATAATAATATCTCTGTAATCTCACCTGGATCAGAGAAGTCCTCACTTTGTCCATTTCTCTGGCTGTCTCTCCCTCTCTCACCCTGTATTTCTCGAAGTTTTGAACATCTTGGTTGCTCTTGTAGACGCCCACAACTGGATCTGACTGGCTGCACACTGCTCCGTCTGTCCAGGGCTTGAGCTCCTGTTGGCGGAGGCTGTAATTTTGCCCTCCCTATGGGCAGAGTCTGGAGCAAGGCAGAGGAAGTGTTTGTGTTGGATGATATGGAATTTCCTTTGTTAATATTGCAGCTGCCCCTGTCTGTACTGAAGTAGAGGCAGAACTCTGTGAGGTTTAGCACAAATTCAAGGCTATGAATGAAAAATACACAGGCCTACGGTGCACATATAAGTTTTAATATTTAAAATGTTTTGACCTCATGACCTATTTCCAACTTTTCAAGCTACAGATCTTATTTCAGAGTGGAATTTAACCAAATACATTGTTGTTCAAGTGAAGCCAGGGTTAAATCATGTATTTTGCTCATTATTTCTTCTAGCCTAGTCATCATGTAGGCATTTGATGACCAGATTTTCAAAATAAAAAACTAGGACCATCCCTGGTTTGGGGTAGCTGGTAATAATAAAATTGTGAAACGAGTGCTTAATTAAGGAAAATTGTTGTGCACTCGGCACTAATATGAATCAATATACACATTTTCATTGTGTTTTGGTCATTTTTAAGCAGCTTTGCTATATTTTACCTAAACAAATGACAATTTATGTCTCTCTTTACTGTTGGCAGGTATCAGATTCGTCAAAAATAGGGACACCTGTGACATTTCTTATATAAAACTGGGACAAATCACTGGTCTTGGATAAATCTGCTGGGACAGGGGACACAGGGCTCAAAAATGGGACTGTCTCGGGTAAATAGGGACGTATGGGCACCCTACTTAGACAGTTATTTTTATGCAGACTGTTGCTATGTTTCCCAATCAAGAGTGCAGATGTTACAGATATTCTTATTGTAATATCTTATACATACAAACAAGACAAATGCAAAATTTCTGAATAATAGATCATAACTATTAAGCAACTGACCTGATAACCTGTAGCCTTGTCCTGGTAATAATATGATACACTACACATTGTAAACGTCTATAACATTGTGCAATTTCTTACCTAAGATTTTGACTTGAATTAGGAAATCCATGCATCAAAGTACAAATATTTAAAAGTTAATGTTTCTCTTAGTAAAACAAATTAGCTTCAGTTTATCCCTGATGATAAGTGCACTACAACTCCCAGCATCATGTACAACACACCGGAAGTGACGTTAGGTCCTCTCGGCTGTCGCCGGTTTCCCGCGTGCTGTTTTGTGTTGTGCAGAGGCAACATGGCGGCCCCGCTGGAGGTGGTGGTGAGCAGTGACTCGGGCTCACAGCTGTGGAACTGTACCGTGTTTGACCTGCACAGCGGCTCCAGCCTGCTGTCATACCGCGGGGGGAACAGCTCTGCCCGGACACTCACGGTGCTCAACGGGGAGTACCTCCTGTCCGCGCAGCTCGGAAAGAACTTCATCAACGTGTGGGAAATCCAGAGAAAGGTCTCACCACCGTGGAGATGCTCACTGTCCTCTACATAACCAAATAACTAACTTTAATGAATTCCTGCAGTACTTTGTTGACATAATTCTTGACAAATAGCAAATGGGCTACTGTAAATACGAGATCTGCTGCTAGTTGCTACCATTAGGCATTGCAAGTGCACAGTCAACAGAGGTGGGCTTATAAATCCATGGCTGTTCTTTATTCAGTCTTTGGTCCTGCTACAACATGCTGCATTCTTATTTATTAGCTCACACTTTCTCATTGAATGAAAACCTGAAGACTAAATGTTTACGTTGTTTTCTTTGTACAGGATCAGCTGCAGCAGAAGATCGTGTGTCCAGGTGTGGTGACCTGTCTGACGGCCTCACCAAATGGATTGTTCCTCGCCACAGGTGTCGCAGAGGCGATTTACCTATGGGAGGTGAATGTGATTTAAAACATGTTTTGTATGGCTCTTAGATTACTGTAATGGCCAATGTAAAATCCAAATCAATTTTTTTGTAAAACACATTTCATAAACAAAACGGTTTCCGAAGTGCTGCACCTATAAAGATAATATTAAAAACAACAGAAAAGTATACAACAGCTCAAGTTAGCTGTACCTAGAGCTACCTTAGCTGTGTCTAAAACCAGTAAAGTAAAATAAAATAAAATGCATGAAATAGCAATGAATAAATAAACAGAATAAAATAATAAAAATAATTGAATAAAAATAATTAAAAAAACACAGAGGACCATAACTAATGTGGTTAAAATAAAAATGGGTCTTAAGACCTAAGACACTCCACTGTGGGGGATGTTCGGCCATAGGTTGGCAGAGCGTAAAAATATATATTGTATTGATCCATATGTGCTCATGTTTAATATGTTCTTTTATTCATCAGGTGTCCACAGGGAAGCTGCTGTCTGTGCTGAGTCGGCACTATCAGGACGTCACCTGTGTGAAGTTTACAGATGACAGCAGTCACTTTGTCTCTGGAGGAAGAGATAACTTGGCTTTAGTGTGGAGTTTAGCCAGGTATGACTCAATCACTGCTCATTATATCATCTTTAGTGGAAAATAAAGCTTTAATTTGGTTATTGAGTTTTAAGTTTTACAAAATGTTTTAGTGAAGCTAGAATAATTAAAAATGCAACGTATGAGTACTAGATAGTGTTTGGGAAGTTTTTGATAGTGACCACTAGAGGGAGCTTTTACATAGCCCAAGTGATGCTTTACAGGTTCATGTTCCTCTCCTCCAGTTAGACATCTGTCAGTCTCTTATTGCAGACTCTTGGTGTTGCTAGTGACATTATCCAGTGACTGTAGATTCACCACATCTCATTGGAACATGTTATACTCACTACTTTCTCCCAATTGCATCAGCTTTTTCATCAAGATAAGCACTTTTTCTGTGCCCAAACTGCATTATTGTAACTTGTGTGACATCTGATAATTCATTTGTGCTTGTTCAGCCTGTTGCAATTATATACAAGACTTAGAATTAATTGCCAAATGCATAACTTCAGACTGCTTACGGTGAGGATTTCTTTATGTTTTGGCAAACCAGTCACCCTTGGGCGATTTTAAAATCCCTATGATAAATCCACTTACTTTTTATCGTTGACAGCTGATAAAGTTGTATGGTACATTTTGCCAGAATTACGGGAGTGCATTGCTTAAGACCTGATAGATCAGCCAATGGACCTTGCCAAAACGACCACTTTTAGCAGTATTAGAAAAAGTCTGGATGTTGGTTTCACTTACCGTGGTGAGTTTTGGTTGGGGATGATGTTTTCAGTGAGTGGTGAGATACAGTTGATGTGTCCTTAAAGGAACTAAAGGGAAGCACTTTATAGCATCCACTCTTTTTAGCAGGGCTCTTAATGTTTTTACACACAGTCTGTTTTTGGCAGTGGTCGTTTAGAGAATAGTTTTTATCATTAGAGCTGGCAAAGAACATTTTATAACTCAATAGTGCTCATGGTAGCAATGGCCTGAGTTAAATTGTTGCATTAAGAGACAAAAATGATAAAAACTGACCACAAAAAACAAGTAGCCCCAGTGGCATCGAAGGATGGGTCAAAAACAGAGGTCTATTTTTCCTACAGGGACAATAAAATGGATCTTATCACCAGCAATTGGGGGAAACACTGGAATTGATCATTTGTAGTGACATTGATTTAAACAAGACATTTTCCAGAGCTTGTGATGAATATGAGTATTCATGGTCTTGACTAGGTGTTCGATTTTCAACAAAGAGGTGAGAGTGACTAACTAAAAAACTGTTGACAAATGCTAACTAGGTTATGACTGTAATTTTATGTGTTAGTGACTTTTAAGCTGTTGTAGTCCCAGCCAAGTCAGTCTTTTCTGGTCAGACTGTGTTCAAATAAAGCTCTGATTAAGTCTAATTTGAATAACAGAACTTCTAACAGAGTAATGCTTTTTTCTGTTTAAAAGTTTGGTTCCTAATGTAAAATTTGAAACTGAAAAAAAAAATATATATATTATTTTAGTGAAACCTTAATTATAATGATCTTAACTGTGTTTTGGTAAAAATGAATAGTCAAACCCTTCATGGGCACTTTAAAGGACCTGATTTCTTACCATGAGTCAGGAACATATTTTAATTTGAACTTTTAGCCCTTTGACAGTGTGAAAATGCACCATGATAGTGAATCATCTGGGATGGTGTCAGGCAGTTGCTTTGCCATGGTTCTTATTAACAGTGTGTCTGATTAGATGAAAAAAGGTGAGCCTGCCAGTAGCTTCTGTTATTACCAGAGAAATTGCAATGAAAAATTTATAAATATAAAGTATTTATATTACATAAAATATATTTTATAGTAATTCGTTTTTTATTTAGCAGCTTTTACGATACAATCTATTATGCTAATAGGCCTGTCACAGTTACTGTATTGACTTATCGTTCAATATATGAAAGATGAACCAATATATTTTGGGGCTCAATATTTATTGTGGGTACAACTTCTTTGTAATAATGCAAGATTTTATTTTATTTTTTTGTTGCAATGCCAGAGCTTTGTGCTGCATAGGGTTTAATAAGTATCTTCTATGGCTAATTATAGCTTCATTCTGCTATTTAATTGTTGCATCTCATGCCTTTAAATATTGAAGAATTATCCTGTTATTATTATTGTGTCAGTGGCGCAAAGTAATTTTAATTATCGATTATCGTTATATTTCATTGTAGCAATATATCATGTTTCAAAATGTGTATCTCTCAAGGTCCCTCAAGTTCACAAAAAAAAATTTTTTTTTTAAGTGTCATTAAACAGCATCTTCATAAACAAGGGGTACTTCTGTTCTATATACATGATTTACAATTCCAATTAAATGATTTGTCAAGTAAAAATAAAAATCTGACCATTTGTGGGTTTCTAAATAATGTGAAATGATGACCATTGCCATAGCAATGAACAATCAAAAACAAAATATACCTTTTGAATTGAAAAAAGTCCTTAAAATGTTGCATGGATGGAACTTGCATGCTGTTTTGGTTGTTAGCAAATTTAGATTCACAGGCTTAAGATTTAGTTGGAGGCAGCTGAAATTGAAGTGCACAAAATATCTGACCTGCCACATTAGCCATTTTTAGATGCATTCTTATCCAATTTGTGGAATGTGACTCCTCAAAATCTCATGGGATAACTATGCTCTCTGTCAATTAGTGATATTCGCCTCATAGCTGGAGGTTTGTGCATCTGTTTTTGTAGCTCGTAACAACTTGAAAGAGCCACTTCATTATTATTCAGTGGGTTCTTTATGCCTTCATTTGTTTGCTTCCACATTGAGTCATAGAAATGCATCAGAACCAGTCTTGTGTCATTAAAGCATAAAAACATGGAGGGTGGCAGGGAGTCGGAGGAGATCCAGAATCGGAAACCCCCCCAGGCTGGAAACGGCTCTTTCTCTGAGCTGCACCTGGCACCCCATCCACTGTGGAGGAAGCTGATTGGCTCCGATCTGCCTCCTCTCCCTTACAAAACACAGACAGAAACCAGGTCACTCACACCCGCATCCAAACCCAGTTGCATAAAGTTACTCCATGACCTTTGACCTTAGGAAGAATATAGATGTCTGAAGGGTGGGTGCTTTAGTTTTCAAAAGGTATGTAAAAAAGAAAAAAAAATCACGCTCAGGGCCTGAAAATGAGCAAGATCCCAGCCATTGCACAGATATGAAAGCTCTCTCAGATTCTCAAGAGTCATGTGGGCTGTGATGTGATGACGTCAGAAAAAGACGCTGAGGATTGTGGGAAACCTGAGCAGAATTTTAAGCACGCTTTCCCGTTTGTCAGATGGACGCCTGTCTGAAAGCTGGAGTCAGTAATAAAAGATGTCTCTACTGCAACATGCTGTTTGAACCCTCATCTCCTTCTACCCTATTCATTTGACTCTATTTGGGCTTTTCCACAACTTTCTGCAAATATTGACTAAAAATATGATAAATTTATGCCTAACTTTTATTCATATTTGAGCCGAATGAGATGTAAAGAAGCCAGTTCAATCTAGTGTGATCAAACTCGTAGTTACTGTCAAGAGTTTACTTGAATAAATCATGTTTTTAGCTTCAAGTCTTTGCGCTTGGCAGTATTTCCTCATCTTCTGCCTCTCAAAGTCCACTAAGAGAAAAATGAAAGCAAAAGAAAAGGAAACAGTTCTACCAAGCACTCTTTTTAATTAGTCTTTAGTGCCATCGTGCCCCTAAGCAAGTTTTGTCACACTCAACAAGTTATAAATGTTAAATGAGGAAATAGGGCTGCAAGATTAATCGCAATCGAAAATCGCAGTTTGAATGTATGCAGTTGGCAAACCGCAAAAGATGCATTTTTGAAGTACCACCATGCATTTTTTTTTCCATAAATGCCAAAATATCTGTGTTTATATGTTTTGTTCTGCTGCTGACCCTGTAGTGTAGATCTGTACACATAAATGCATGTGATTGTTGCATTAGTTTCTCAGTACATATTTTAGTATTTTTGTCTGTTATGGGTTTGTGGACTTTGTAAATCCAATCTCAATCATAATACTTGTCAGAAAAATGTCCGAACTCTATGAAGAAACACGCTGTTTGTGTTGTGTGGCAGGTTAAAGTCTGAGGCTTTTTAGACTTGAGCTTTATTTTAACACAAAGAACTGATTTAGTTACAACTACAACAGATGATTTTGATTTGTGCTGTTTAACAAGTCCCTCTCATACTAATATTACCTCACCTTTTTATTTAAAATCAAACTCCTAAGCCGGTCCATGAACGCTGGTATTGATCACAGGCTCCTGAAAACCTGTTGTTTAAATAAAAAAAAAAAAAGATATAAATTGGCCCTGTAAGCTAATGTGTGCATTGTGTCACCATGGTAACTCCTAAACATCAAACCATTAAAGATGCATGTAGCACACCCCCAGCTCAATGTCACTGCAATGTGTCAACTGAAAATTTTGTTGATATTTGGCACCAATATCTTTTCTTCGCTGCCCCAGTCTGTGTGCCCATGTGTCACTCCCTCACTTCTCAGTACAAAAAAAAAAAAAAAAAGAGTGAACCACGTGATTATGTAACACTATAAGTTTTTTAAACCTCATCCTACTCCTTTTGAACACGAGGTCCCAAATATGTTAATGTGCATATCCATGTTTTTGTTATTGTTTTTGAATTTTTGTTGTACCTGGCTCAAACAAATAAAATTAATGAATGAAAAAAAAAAAGTCACATTTGTCTTTTTGAGCAGACAAATCAATAAAAAATATGGTTGTATGTTCAACCAATCAACCAACAAATGATTTTATATCCTAGACTTTCACAAAAGTGAAAAGTTGATTTGTAAACTTTACTATAACTGAACAACTCTGGAATGTACAAACTTAACACGGATATCGGTTTTTGATATTGCCAAAAAAAATAAAAAATCCCTATCAGACCATCCCTAATAGTGTATTTCTAAATATTTTTTGTATCTTTTTCAGTGTGATTCAGATGGATTCAAACCATGTACCCGAACCTCGTCATGTCCTCTCCCGCCACTCACTGCCAATCACAGACCTGCATTGTGGCCTTATGGGACCCCAGGCACGAGTGGCTACTGCCTCCTTAGACCAGACTGTGAAGGTAACATGCACACTACTGCTGCTGCTGTTGTTAGAGGTGGGAGATATGAACCAAAATGACTATATATCTAGATATTGTCGGGATTATTATTTTTTATTACTATATTTATTATTATTATTCAGATTAAGCTGTTCTGTATATTATGGCAGTCAGTCAGAAATGTCTTAAAGTGTGCTAGCAGATTTTGTGGTTACTGTTCAAATGAGTATTCTTCACTTTCCTTATGCATTCTTAGCATCCCAGTTATTGAGAGTGATGAGTTTATAAGCTCTTTTCACAACTCTCAGAGGCCAAAGCTGAGTTTTGCTGTGATGATAAAGCTAAAAACAACTTGCATACCAACAGCGCACTTCCTGGTCCTTGGACGATTAAACACTGCATAATTAGATGCAGACAGCAGACAGCACACATTGGTATTATTTCTAACGTAAGAGCTGCTAACGGAATATATCTGCACTGGGACAAAACAAGTTTTTCTCAGCTACATGGACAAAAAAATCAGTTGCAGCAATTTTAAAACTTCATGTTTTGAGCATTATAAATCAATTATAAGGATCATTAGACACTGGTACACGAGCATAATCTTGTAATTTGTTATTAATATCCTCCTCTACTCGAATCTGGTGAAACATACAAGGAGCGATGGCTCTAGAGACATCATTTGTGGTTGTTAACACTGAATATTATGTTTCTTCAGGGCTACTGGGACATACCAAGTCTGCATTTTGTGGTTTTGAATTTTTTAGCAAAGGATCTTCTAATAATTCAGGCACTGTATATTAATATAACCATGAATTACCTTTTTTTTTTTAAATCAAACCACAATAAAAGTTGACATTTCATACTTTTGAAATAATCAGAAAAGGTTCATTACAACAAGTTTAATTGCAGGTTCTTTTTAGTGCTCTAAAAAACTTGAAAAACCTGCGCCATTGCTGTAAATGGGATTGTCTCTCCACAGACCTGACTTAAAACTTTTCTGGTGAAGTCTGCAACCGGCTGGTCTCCATGGAGCTGTTCTTAATTTACCTCAAACATTCCAAAGAATGGCATAAAACTAATCTATCTCCATGGAGAGTATTCCACAGTTTAGTTTTAACTTTCTATTTCCATGGAAAAATTACACAGTGCTACTTAAAAGGATTTAATAACTGACAATAGAGCAAGAAATTGTGACATCACACATTTACTTTTTAATATTGTCTTGTTTTGCACTACTGCCAGAAACATCGTGGATTGGCAAAATAGTTATTGCTGTGTTTTACATGAGGCTAGTCTCTACATTTTACTAAGAGCAGTTTAGCATCTATTTATCTGTTGCTATGGTGATGTCATGGCGACGTCATGGTGATAGAGCAGTGATAAAGAACAGTGATTTGGCTGCTGTCGGACTACTGCGTTATACGACAGTGAGCCTTTGGAATTCTCATTGATCATGGTCCCATCCCATGCTTACCTTGCAAAAGTGTTGGTTCTGAGCCAACGTAATAAAGTAATAATAGGACACAACATTTTTTTACATTGTGACTGTGTGCTATATGTGTGCTCTTCCTGTTTTTGGCATCAGAGCGGTGTGATGGTGAATGGCCTGTAAATATCCGTGTTAGATTGTGGGATCCTTTTAAGCAGAGCTCGAGTGCTCATGAATCAGCTTGTTTACCTGTGTGAAGGACATCCAAATGAAATGAATCTGACAGCGAGGATTACCCCGGCACCAACATTTCACATCTATCATGGGGCAGAACAGGGCAAAGGGGAATTAGCAAAGCATTGTAGCTAGTATTATCAGCTATTAATACTGCTGTTGAGTCACCTGTGATAAGTTGTGACTGCTGCTTTTATGTTAACACAGAGTGACACTTTCAGATGATAAATAAGGTATGTCTGTTTTCCCTCTGCTCTGTCTGGATCTAAGCTGCCAGTCTCATAACATTTTGAGCTGTGGTACTACAATTACAATCAAATCTTTTACGCAATTAGAATCTAGTGTGATGCTTATGTAGTAGGGGCTGCACAGTGCATCTCAGTTGAATCGAAATTGGAATAGATGCAAAGACAGCAATTAAAGAGGCGCGCCTGATTTTACTTGAATGAATGTTATTTCATTTTAAAAGGTTTGCAGTGGTCCAAGAATTCCTTACTTACCTTATGCATCCCGAGCATCCTAATTGTTCACCGCGATGAGTTTTTAAGCCCTTTTTACAGACGCCAGAACACTGTTGCTGTCACGGTAATGCTAACAACAACCAGCATGCTAATAGTGCACTTCTTCTTTCTGAGACAATAAAATTCTTTTTAATTAGATGCTGACAGCACTGAGCTGCTTATTTGCTTATTTTGACCTCAAGAGATGCTTATACAAAATACATGTACAGGGACAAGACACATTTTGCTCAAATGCAGTTGTAGGCCCTTCTATCCACTGTACAAAACAGATGAAAAATCCTGTTATTGAAAATGCAACCCTAGTTAGAAATGTGCAATTTATACTGTTTAATTTATGCAGAGAATATTTCTCAAAATGTAGTCATGTGGGAGATCATTTAAATCAGAATTTGCATTCATCCCTCAGGAAATGTAGATTCCCATAGCATTACTGGCTTGTACTCTATGCAGCCCGTAAGGTAATATGTAGGACAGTGTTAGATGAGTAAAATAATGGTTGTCAGAGCTATATCACATTACATTGGGGACAACAGAAAAAATGTGGTTACAAGAGTACAAGGAAAAACATGCATACTTTTTTACTAAAGTTTAATTAAGCAGCATAATGTAGTAGGGTAATATTATAGAAACCAGCTTGAGTTCAACCACACTGTTGCATGAATAAGTAAAATCTTAGTCGCACTAGAGAACACTGTTGAAAACTGAATAAATTAAAGGCCCTGCACCTGATTTATTTTGCCCATGTATTTGAGTAACAATTGTCTTGCCCCACTAGCTATATTTTATAAGCTGCATTTGAGGTCGAAATAAATCCATTGTGGACCATCTGCATCAAATTGCAAAGTGTTATACTGTTTAAGTATTATGAAGTGCATGGTTAGCATGCTAGTTGTTGTTGTGGTTAGCTTTAAAATGATGGCAAAACACACTGGTCTCTGAAACTTGTGAAACATGCTCATACATAAAGTCATTGTGGTAAATAATTGGGAAAGGTGATGAAAGAGATTAATTTGTTTATACCACAGTTAAAAATGAACCATATATTTTCACATTTTTAATACAGTAAATATTGAATTACAGGGCCTTTAAAAGAAGCTAATTTCAATCTATATTCAAGTGATATTTTCTGGTTTGCATTATTTCTTTAGAGTTATTTTGACTATTGGTTATAGAAAACAGGCACCATTTCACAGTGTATGTTCCCTTTTCTGACTCGCTGGAATCATAGTGGTATAATAGTACTGCTTCTTGAGAGCAGCCTCAGCATACAAATCTCGTGAATAAGACTCAAAGAAATAAAATAGTTTTCAAATAAACATGGAATGACCTCAAAAACAAATCTTTGTAGATATGTACTGTATGTGGAACAAATAAATGCGCTGCCTGCTGATCTGATCTCTATACAACCCTGATAATCGGCCACACTTATCCAGCCATCTCCTGCAAATATTAGTGTGCACGTTGTGTTGTTTCTGGTGAAGACTTGGCTCACTTTGAACAGTCTCTACTCCCTCGTGCACTGTCACTCCACGGCTCCACACTGTAATATTTATGAGTTTATAACATGACAGACAGCGGGACCTTCAATGGCTATCTGTCAGCACATCATAACAAATCCACACAGAACTCAACACAGAGAAACACCAAACAAGGGCAGCCAATGACACCAGGAATCTAGAAGAATAGTAAAGCATGACATGTATATGTAAGAGTAAGATAAGATACGGCCAAACTTTGTGTACAAGGGAAACTACTATTAAGATGCGGTCCTACATTGTATAGAAACTTTATGTGTGGTTTTCAGTTTTTTCCCAAAAAATGGTCAATGGTGTCTTAGTTGATTGAAATTAGTATGAGCTGACTAATCATTTTATTTAGATTATAAGGATTTATATGGGACAACAGCAGAATGAAGGTGAATTAGTTATCTGAAGATTGGGTATTTTAAACTCATGATTCACAAGTTTAATCTGTCTTTAATATAAATACACTTTCCTAGTACATTTTCTGCATAAATAGCTGTTTTTTGCACAAACTCCAGTGCAGGTGTAGTCTCATGAGTGCAGTTTGGGTCTGATACGTGGTAGTTTTCAGGGCTTTTGTCATGCCCCAGGATCAGCAGGATCAGTCTTTTGTTGACCAAAAACTTCTTTGGTCAACTACAGAGCTACAGGTTTTACTACTACACAGATAATCTACTGCTGAGGCCACAGGTGCAGTTGCAGGGAGTCTTTATACAGCTGTTTATTTTAGAAAGAAAATAAAGCGGCAAACACAAAGTACAAGATTAAAATATGATTAACAATGTTCTCTTTATTTTTTACAATCAAAAATCATGTATTCAGGTTGGGGCTCATCACACTAGTCCAGTCGGCCTTGTCACTTACATACAGGGCTGCACAATATATCGCAGTCAAAGAACAAAATTATGTTATTTTTTTTTTATCGAAAAATGTTCTGAAATGCGTTGGAGTTTTGCAATTGTAGTTTAACAGTTCACATTCCCATTGTCTATAAAATGTTAAGGCTCCTAGAGTTGTTTACATTGTGCACACTGAACATATATCACAACTCTTGCAATACATACAAAAAATCATTCAATGTCTTTGTTCCCAAAATTGTGCAGTGCAACAAATAACTTGGACAAATAGAGTTGATGTGCACAGGGTTGAAGGCACAGGTAGCAGTTTCTTCCTTTTTCTTGTTAATAATTTCTGGAGTTTTTTTTTTTTACTTTTGCAGACTCAAAACTTAAAATTTTACCTTTTACAATTTTAGCTTCTATTAAAACACTGACTAACTAAACTTTTTAAACTGTGTGTGCAGGATCCATC